AATACTGGTGACAAAGACCATTGCAAAGAGGTTTGGATACATACTTGTGGAGGGAGAGTCCTACACCAACCCCATCACTTCAAATCAAATCAAATCAAAATTGATTGGTTCGCGTACACAGATTTGCAGATGTTATCGCAGGTGCAGCAAAATGCTTGTGTTTCTAGCTCCAACAGTGCAGTAACACCTAGTAATACAAAATAAAATAAAACAATACACACATAATCCAGAAAAATATGAAAATAAGAAATGTCAGAAGGAGCAATGTCAGTGACCGGAATATAAATATACAGTTGAAGTCGGAAGTTTACATAAACCTTAGCCAAATATATTTAAACTCAGTTTTTCACGTTTAATCCTAGTAAAAATTCCCTGTCTTAGGTCAGTTAGGATCACCACTTTATTTTAAGAATGTGAAATGTCAGAATAATAGTAGAGAGAATGATTTATTTGAGCTTTTATTTCTTTCATCACATTCCCAGTGGGTCAGAAGTTTACATACACTCAATTAGTATTTGGTAGCATTGCCTTTAAATTGTTTAACGTGGGTCAAACGTTTCGGGTAGCCTTCCACAAGCTTCCCACAATAAGTTGGGTGAATTTTGGCCCATTCCTCCTGACAGAGCTGGTTTGTAGGCCTCCTTGCTCGCACACGCTTTTTCAGTTCTACCCACAATTTTTTTATAGGATTGAGGTCAAGGCTTTGTGATGGCCACTCCAATACCTTGATTTTGTTGTCCTTAAGCCATTTTGCCACAACTTTGGAAGTATGCTTGGGGTCATTGTCCATTTGGAAGACCCATTTGCGACCAAGCTTTAACTTCCTGACTGATGTCTTGAGATGTTGCTTCAATATATCCACATAATTCTCCTTCCTCATGATGCCATCTCTTTTGTGAAGTGCACCAGTCCCTCCACAGCAAAGCACACCCACAGCATGATGCTGCCACCCCTGTGCTTCACGGTTGGGATGGTGTTCTTCGGCTTGCAAGCAACCCCCTTTTTCCTCCAAACATAACGATGGTCATTATGGCCAAACAGTTCTATTTTTTGTTTCATCAGACCAGGGGACATTTCTCCAAAAAGTAAGATCTTTGTCCCCATGTGCAGTTGCAAACCGTAGTCTGGCTATTTTATGGCGGTTTTGGAGCAGTGGCTTCTTCCTTGATGAGCGGCCTTTCAGGTTATGTCGATATAGGACTTGTTTTACTGTGGATAAAGATACTTTGTACCTGTTTCTTCCAGCATCTTCACAAGGTCCTTTGCTGTTGTTCTGGGATTGATTTGCACTTTTCGCACCAAAGTACGTTCACCTCTAGGAGACAGAACGCGTCTCCTTCTTGAGCAGTATGACGGCTGCGTGGTCCCATTCTGTTTATACTTGCGTACTATTGTTTGTACAGATGAACGTGGTACCTTCAGGCATTTGGAAATTGCTCCCAAGGATGAACCAGACTTGTGGAGGGCTACAATTGTTTTTCTGAGGTCTTGGCTGATTTCTTTTGATTTTCCCATGATGTCAAGCAAAGAGGCATTGAGTTTGAACGTAGGCCTTGAAATAGATCCACAGGTACACCTCCAATTGACTCAAATGATGTCAATTAGCCTATCAGAAGCTTCTAAAGCCATGTCATCATTTTCTGGAATTTTCCAAGCTGTTTAAAGGCCCAGTCAACTCAGTGTATGTAAACCTCTGACCAGAGCATATGAGCGGAGTGGAGCGGTGAGAATCTCAGCTCCTCGCTCACGGAGCTGTTCACCCCTCCGCTCCCCCCGCTCAAAGCCACATCAGGCCAGTCCGCTCATTATCGCTCAGCGCTCAACGCAGTTTGCATCGCGCTCCACTCAAATCGCCCCCCGCTCACTCCAAAAAAGGAACAAAATCTGCATGTATTTCACTTTTAGCTTAAACCACAGCCTTACTTTATCTCCCCGAATTTGTTGCATACAGACTCATCTCGGATTATCCATTCTGTCTTGAAACGGGGATCTAACACTGACGCTAAAATGAGATGTTAATCAGTATAGTATATTCCATAGCGAATTGACACGTTGTTTGCCAATGTTTCTGCAAAAGCAGCGATGCCCATTGGAAGTGCAGCGTGAGTGTAATCGGTGAGCAGGGATTTGATTTCTGTGACAGCAGGGAGGATCATCCCCAGGTTCCCCAGCTGCATTTTGTCTGTGAGGTCTGCTAGTGGTGTCAGCACACTGACAAGGTGCGTCAGCTGCCGTACTTGATTCAGGGTGATGTTAGCAACATTAGACTTGAGTTTGTTTTACCATAACGGGTCTTTTTGGAACAACCGGATGAACGACTGAATCATCCGCAGCTGGCTGCTCCATCGAATGGCGCAGGCATTTGTGGGGCTGACACCTAATTGGTCGGTTTCCTCTGTGCTCTTGCGTACACTTTTCACCAGGTGCCCGACTTTCACTAACAGCCTATTAATGTTGTCGTGCTTGTTAACGGCGTTTTTGATCGCCAGCTGAAGCATGTGAATGGGGCATCTCAGATGTAAATTTGACAAAGTAAAGTACTGATTTATCATAGTTTCTTGGGGGAGTGTAGCCCGGTTGAGCTGCGCTGGCGAAGTGTTGCATCCCTTCGCGTTCTCCTTTACTCAGCGGTTCATAGTCCATGAAAATCATTTTAAAAAATGCTACATCCAGCTCTCTTTTTCTCTCCCTTGTTATGGTTGGGCCTTTGCGTGCAGTGAATAAACTTTTGAATTCCTCAACCCTTTTCTCTTGTTGCTGCTGCTGCTCCTCTCGCTCTATAAAATACAAATTAATGGACGACACAAATTAAATTAAACAGATGGATTCTGGGTCAGGCTTGAGCATGCTTCAGACTCGTGGTGTGAGCGAGCGAAATTGGAGCGGGACATAGGGCGACGCTCCGTCCTTTTAAAAATGCCGCTCTGCGCTCTGTTCAAAATCCGTCCGCTCACGCTCCACGCTCGCTCCCGCTCCACTCCGCTCATATGCTCTGCCTCTGACCCACTGGAATTGTGATACAGTGAATTATAAGTTAAATAATCTGTCTGTAAACAATTGTTGGAAAAATATATTGTGTCATGCACAAAGTAGATGTCCTAACCGACTTGCCAAAACTATAGTTTGTTAACAATGCATTTGTGGAGTGGTTGAAAAACGAGTTTTAATGACTCCAACCTAAGTGTATGTAAACTTCCGACTTCAACTGTATATACATATAATGGTGTGAATAGACAATATGGACAGCATGTGAATAGAAAAGGCGTGTACAGCAGTAGTTTATATAGGATGAGCCTTGACTAGAATACAGTATATACATATGAAGTGGGTAAAACAGTATGTAAACATGATTAAAGTGACCAGTGTTCAATAACTATGTACATAGGGCAGCAGTCTCTAAGGTGCAGGGTAGAGTACCGGGTGGTAGCCGGCTAGTAACAGTGACTAAGGCTAGTGGTGACTGTTTAACAAGCTGAATACATGTTTGTGCGTTCATATACCTTTGATGAATCATCCTGCAGTTTTCATACCATGTCTCGTGGTTCACATTTCATTGTCTCTTCATCCAATTGCTTTCTCCCATCCATTTTTTCTCATCCAATTGCTTTCTCCCAACCATTTTCTCTCATCCAATTGCTTTCTCCCAACCATTTTCTCTCATCCAATTGCATTCTCCCAACCATTTTGTCCCCCATGGCTATCATTTGACTGTATGCCGATCCCATTGCCATGTTCATCTCCATGGTGAATGGTGCACCCTCCATCTCCTATCCTCTCCACCGGGATTCCTAACACACAGCCAAGGCTGGCTACCATACATGTGAGTAGCACTCCACAGCTCTGGGATGGGTGCCTGCCTGTAGATGTGGGTAGAAGTACTGTGTGTGTGTGTGTGTGTGTGTGTGTGTGTGTGTGTGTGTGTGTGTGTGTGTGTGTGTGTGTGTGTGTGTGTGTGTGTGTGTGTGTGTGTGTGTGTGTGTGTGTGTGTGTGTGTGTGTGTGTGTGTGTGTGTGTGTTTACGCGCGCGCCTGCGTGAGTAGGCTGTGCATGTCGTTGAAACAAACAATGTCGTTAATGCTGACTTCATCCTCATTAGCCCATAAAGCCAAGAGGATGGACGCATTGCAGCCGTGTGACACAGAGTACCTTGGCTTCATGTTAGACAACTCTATCAAAGAGACCAACAGCCTCCTCAAATGTGGACGCTGTCAGAAGTAAGAAACCTCAGTCAACTCCACAGTGTTGGCGCCATCTTGTGGCCATGATACCTACCTGCAATGATCTGAACTGCATTTTGACTACACAATTTTTTTCAATGTATCCACAATGTAATGATAGCTGAATGTGTTGTGTTCCATAATGGAATGTTAAACGAATGTGTTGTGTTCCAGAATGTTTGTGGTGATGTTACACAGAGATCCTAAAAATAAAATAAAGTGTTACCTTAAATTACTATATCATTCTATGTAATATTAACTTAATATCTTGTGTTGCAGGATGTTTGTGGTGCAGGCGGTCCCTGACAGTAACCTGGTGTTGATGGTGGTCCAGGCGGACTGTGACTGCTCCCGCCAGTACTCCTCCATCACCCTGGAGCCCAAGGAGGTCAAATACAACGCATCAGTCAAGTGTAACAGGATGAAATCTCAGAAAGTCAGGCGGCGCCCAAAGTCCTGCCATGCCTACCATCCTAAGGTCAACCATCCTCCTCCTCTCTTTTTAACTGGTTGTATAATGACCTAATATTAACTTAATTACAGTTGCTGGCTACAATGTTTGCATAGCAGGCATGTTGAAATTGAAAGAGAGAAGTGTTTGTTCAATTTAAATGTAATGCAAGTCCCACAGATGAATAGTCGAAGTAGAATATTGTGTCAATCAGTATAAAGCAGTAGCAGTGGAAAAACAGCAGTTTCCATGACGTTTTTCTACTTGTTTATGAGGATTTGTGTTAATATTGAAATGGTTTTCTTGATGATTGTAGGAAAATGCCAAGGACTGTGGAGGAGCTTCAGAGATCAGCCTATCCAAGGCCCTCTTCTTGGCTTCTCTGGCCACCTCATTGGCCCTGCGCAGATGGACTTAACCAGGCTCCACCTCTCTCATTGGCCCTACGCAGATGGATTTAACAAGGTTCTCGATGGACATGAGAATGCAGACTAAACAATCTTCACATTCTGTTTTTGTATATTTTCTAAAAGACCTATAACTACGTAAAGAACCTACCAACACAGTAGTTCAAGTCAACTCTGGAGCAACAATACAAGGGCTATTGTCTAGTAAGACTCCTTTTTCCACACTGATAGAGAAAGAAACTAACCAGTCCTAACCAATGACTCAATTTCTTTTGTACGAGCCATGGGATATGAGTTTTTGGACATGTGAATCGAAGGGAGAGACTGTTATTTTCATGGAGACACTGATTTGGTAGAAACATTTCTGCCCTCTACTGGACAATCCATCTTAGTGCAGACTGAAGGACAACCACCCTGACACCCTCAGTCAGATGGAGAACTGTTGCCATAATATGCCCATCAACAGGAAAATAGGAAAATGTTCTCTCATTTTCTCATATTTATCTCATGTTATACACAGTAACATTACGATGTACTGTATTGATACTGTTTTTTTTTTGTGTATGTTGGAATGAACTACTGTACCAAACTTTGTGCTACAAAAGAGGAAGGAATATTCATCTCTTTGTGGTTTTACTTCATGAACATTTGTAAGCAATAATGTATGTCATGACACTGGTGTTTTGAATGGAACATGCTGGTGACCATTCCCTCAGAACTTAGAGGTGAGGTCTAGTATAGTTTATGATTGCTGGTATGCATGAAGCTTTACAAAATAATTGGCAGGGGGAGGAGACTGTTAAACAACAATCACCTATTGTCAAATGTGAATCATAAAATTATATTTTGTTATTGTTATTTCCAACTCCACCAGACACAGGGCTCAATTCAATCCGTATCGCCGTAGTCCAGCGCTGTAGCGCGCTTGAAATTTAAAGGTAATTTCCGATTGCGCCGACATATGCAGTGTTTACTGTGAATGCAGTCTCCACAAAAGCGGGACCGTTGCATTTAAATGACGGATTAAATTGAGCCCATACTTACAGGAGAAGCTGAGAGCAGCACAGCGTCATCCACAGAGCAGCATTAGGGGATAAGTGCCTTGCTCAAGGGCACAACAGCAGTAAGTGGCACCTGAGATTCTGATGCCAGTCACCCTCTGGTTGTTGGCTCACTTCTGCCCAATTCTTCCCCGTAAAATCATTATAAGCACACTGTTGATAAACATATGATGAATTTCAATATGTGAATCTTCAAACGATCTGCATATAGTGGCTAGGACTACATGTAAATGAGATGTAAAAATAGGTGCTTTGAGATATTGAGGAATATTACAATACATTTAATATTTTTAAAAATGGTGTCTTGTATCTTTTTCATTGTTGTCTCCTATAAGAGCTAGACCAATAAGAAACAGATACAGAAGGACCAGTACTGTGACGTGTGCAAATGGTTGGTGGCAGTTTGTACTTGAAACACAGATACTGAGAAAATTCACCACTGCATTTATTTATCAAACAAAAACATGTTTTATACATTGTAGTATAGCCATTGCTTTCGTACACAGCATCTTTTTCTTTTTAATACAAACGGAACACCCCTTTCTGTCCATCCCCCAGTAATTGGAGAACAAGAGGTTGACTATATGGTAACAGGCAAATGTACCTTCAGTGCACAATCCAAAACACCAACTACACATAACCGTACACATTAAGCAAAAAATATTATAGATTATTACATCAGTAACTATAAACTGTTAGACATCTTCAGTGGTGATCAGTGGTAATGACAGATCTACAGTATACTGGAAATCCTGAAATAACGAGGGGGACAATTTTCAGAAACCTATGAGAGAAATTGAGTTGAATATATATCGCTTTGAAGTGAGGTAGCAACTTCCTGATTCACACAGATCACCTGATAAAATCATTTGTTTACAATTCTGTAGAGAGTGCTACTACCGCTACTGTACATCAACAACAGCAGACTACTGGAGCAGCAGAACATCTAAAGCTCCGTTTATACATGATTCTAACTTACGTCCTTCTGCTCTTACCCACATTCTGATAGTGCCCACATTTTAGACACGTGTAGACAATCAAAAGACACATTGTGATCAGATCATCCTGCCCACCTCCGGAGGTAGTCAGACATGCATTGTGTAGACAGATCTGTACAGAGAAACCATTGAAATAATTATTCTGCCTTCTAAAATCATTGACAATTGGCGTCATTGACTGATTACATCAATATTTCTTACATTAAATAAATATTATTTAGAAAGGACAGCTGCTTAATAATTTGCATAATAGAAGGAACAGGAAATGTGGTCACAATGCAGAAACAGTGGACGCATAACAGCCATTTTAATACCATGTGTAGACACATTTCTGGAAATGTGGGCCAATCAGAATGTAGACAAGATCAGGACAAAGGAACCAAAGGATTCCATCAGGTATAAACTGGGCTTAACACACACACTATACAGTTGTAGTGTGAAGACATAATCACAAATTACCAGTGCAAGCCTGAGAGATGGAAGAGGCAGTGCACATTTCAACACATCTAGGGGAGTATATTTCTGTCTTTCTGCCAGTAGCATATTGATAAATTAGGATATGAACATTGTTCATAACCAGTACCTTTATGTCATTGGTATATAGAGATGAACGACACGTTTTGAAATGTAGCATTCATTTGAGGGAGGGAAATAAATAGTTGGGAAGAAGCCCCTTTTATTGAAATAAATAGCTGAACATATCAAAACACAATCTGGTCTTATGAGGCAAATGTACATTATTCAGTTTTGACAAACGTATTTATGTGGAGAAAGAGAAAACAACATGCAACTCATGAAAATATAAAATCTCTCCATCACAATGTGTCCACTGTCCATTACATTTAGCCTTGAGGCTCACCCCCAATTTGACCAATAATAAGGCATTGAAAGATTTGCATTCTGTTTAAAAGTTTGTTTTGCACTCAGATAAATATGTCCGGGAGGCAGTGTACTATGCTAAGTCACCCAACCCTCCTCTCTGCCTAGGCTACATGACTGGTGTGGTGTGTGTTGCTAAGACAGGGGTTAGGTTAGGAGGTTGCCTGTCACTGTGTCCTGCTTATTGGGCCTGTTTCTCCTTGGCTGTGTCCAGCTCCTCAGCTAGGTCCCCTCTCTCCTGGTTCCAGTCCTTCAGGCCCTCTGGGAGGCTGGTGTCCTCTTCAAAGCTGCCTGTCCCCTCCACAAACTGCTCATAGGTTGACTTCTCCTCAAACGGCCGTGGCCCCAGCAGCTCCAACATGTCGGCCTTGTCCAGGACCTCCTTCTCCAGGAGACGCTTCCCCACCTGGGGAGAGGAGAGATGAACGGTGGGGTCCCAGTGATATTCATGACACATCAGGATGGACATGAGAAAGAGCCAGACAGCAGCTCTAGGGACTACTAGGTTTATGTTTGATATTAAAGCTGGAATCCTTAAGGGTGATACAGCCACGTCCATTTGAGATATTACCACAACAAAGAAGTTACTGCAACAAACACAATTTTTTCCCATCAGACATCATTGCACGCGCGATAGAAGAGCACAATATGTACTGCAATTTTGTACCATGTTGCACGACGCTCCTCAGCTCAGAAACAACTTTTTCCCCCTACTGCGGATTCCATCTTTAAGCTCAGCAAGAAAATAAAAATCTAGACGGATGTGCCCTTGACAAGAGCGCATGACATGACGACAGCACTCTGAAAACCTTAGAACTACGTGATGTTCATGTAGGTCAATGCAATTCTCACCATGTCCACACACTCTCTCTTGTCCACAATCAGCTCCATGGTCCTCTGGTAGGCGCTGTCCACCAGGTCTCTGACCTCCTGGTCTATGAGCTCTGCAGTGGCCTCGCTGTAAGGCTTCTCCATCACCATCTCCCCTTGCCGAGGAAGGTCAAAAGACACCTGGCCTACCTTCTCACTCATCCCAAACTGCACTATCTGGAGACAAGAAGAGATGTGGGGATTATAAATCCAACAGGTACTGTGAGATAATTAAGCAATAAGACCCGAGGGGTTGTGATATATGGCCAATATACCACGGCTAAGGTCTGTTCTTATGTACGACGCAACGCGGAGTGCCTGGACACAGCCCTTAGCCGTGGTATATTGGCCATATACCACAAACCCCCGAGGTGCCTTATTGCTATTATAAACTGGTTACCAACATAATTAGAGCAGTACAAATAAATGTTTTGTCATTTATCAGCATTCAGGGCTCGACCACCCAGTTTATAATAGACAGTAACATTTTCCAAGACAAATTCCTATCAACATTGTTGAATAGTAACCATAGCTTTATTTAACCACTGCTTTGTTTTCTGATTGTAACTGGGGATTCATTTTAAAAGCTCTGGTGATTCATTCTGAAATCTCTGACGAAGGCTGTGAGGCTGAAACGTTAGCTTAGCCATCAATTAAAGTGTTAAGTGCAGCGCTTTAACTTTCCTCTGAATACCATACAGTAGGCTACCTGTGCGTAGGCTGACTGGGTGATCTTCTTCAGGTCGTCCTGTGCTCCTGTGGTGATTTTCCCAAAGAACACCTGTTCAGCCACACGTCCACCCAGCATCATACACATCCTGTCAAAAAGCTGTTCCCGCGTGTACAGGTACTGCTCCTTGGGAAGGTACTGGGCGTAGCCTAACCCCTTCCCTCTGGGGATGATGGACACCTAGGGGGAGAGAAGAGGGACACATGGTATTAGAATAGTGAAAGAAAAGCAACTTTATAAATCCTGCTCTTTCTAGATCACACATGCCACATATTTTAATCTCATTGTATCAACACGTACGGTTGAATTGTGTTTTTAAAATTGTCAAATAAATCACATCAAATCATAGCCCAACACTTGCATCAAACTCACTCTGCAAGAGACCCTCATTGCAGAGAGAAAAACATGGAGCTGAACCTACAGAACGTGATTTTTCAACTGCAGAATGGATGTTTGATTGAATTGGGCCATAAAGCACCTCATGACATGACGTAAGCCTTAACGTCCACACAAAGAGACCGCTCTGCCTGCAGACTGCTACCCGTCAGGGGGATCTAGTTTGCTCTTCAGACTCATAGTTATACAGTATAATGACTTCTAACAAGTCTCACAGGTCTCCTATTGATTCCAGTTGTTTCATGTGGAGGTCAGAGTTCAAACATTCGTTCAGATATTTCTTAATGTCTTAATTTTTATTTTGGGGATTTGTGTGTATTGTTTTATATTGCTTGGTATACTGCACTGTTGGAGCTAAAATAAATAAGCATTTCGCTGCACCTGCGATAACATCTGCAAAATAAACTATATACACAAAAGTATGTGGACACCCCTTCAAATTAGTGGACGCGGCTATTTCAGCCACACGCGTTGCTGACGGGTGTGTAAAATCGAGCACACAGCCATGCAATCTCCATAGACAAACATTGGCAGTGAAGTGGTAGGCTCCACAAGCTCACAGAACGGGTCCACCGAGCACTGAAGCGCGTAAAAATCACCTGTCCTCGGTTACAACACTCACTATCGAGTTCCAAACTGCCTCTGGAAGCAACGTCAGCACAAGAGCTGTTCGTCGGGAGCTTCATGAAATGGGTTTCCATGGCCGAGCAGCCGCACACAAGCATAAGATTACCATGTACAATGCCAAGCATCGGCTGGAGTGGTGTAAAGCTCGCCGCCATTGGACTCTGGAGCAGTGGAAACACGTTCTCTGGAGTGATGAATCACGCTTCACCATCTGGCAGTCCGACAGACTAATCTGGGTTTGGCGGATGCCAGGAGAACGCTACCTGCCCCAATGCATAGGGCCAACTGTAAAGTTTGGTGGAGGAGGAATAATGGTCTGTGGCTGTTTTTCATGGTTCGGGCTAGGCCCCTTAGTTCCAGTGAAGGGAAATCTTAATGCTACAGCATACAATGACATTTTAGACGATTCTGTGCTTCCAACTTTGTGGCAACAGATTGGGGAAGGCCCTTTATTGTTTCAGCATGACAATGCTCCCTGTGCACAAAGCGAGGTCCATACAGAAATGGTTTGTTGAGATCGGTGTGGAAGAACTTGACTGGCCTGCAGAGATCCCTGACCTCAACCCCATCGAACACCTTTGGGATGAATTGGAACGCAGACTGCGAGCCAGGCCTAATCGCCCAACATCAGTGACCGACCTCACTAATGCTCTTGTGGCTGAATGGAAGCATGTCCCCGGAGCAATGTTCCAACATCTAGCAGAAAGCCTTCCCAGAAGAGTGAAGGCTGTTATAGCAGCAAAGGGGGACCAACTCCATATTAATGCCCATGATTTTGAAATGAGATGTTCGACGAGCAGGTGTCCACATACTTCTGGTCATGTAATGTATGTGCACGCGACAATAACTGATTTATGCAATTGAGAAGACAAACATACTCATTTTGGGCCATGTCAATTTTGAAACCTAAATATGTGATAAACCCATGCAGGAGAATCAAAGTTATTATTTTAGAACCCCACTCAAATCCATTCAACATCTCCATATTCCAACCTGTGATCCAGGTGTGTGACATACACTGTCATTGACCCGTCTGCAAGCCAATGTCAGAAACTGTTCAGTATGACCATGTTCATGTGTACAGTACTGCAGTGGGACTTGGTTGATTTGTACACTATTTCACGCCTGGGATGTATAAGATGCGTTTTATAATAATAATATATAATATGCCATTTAGCAGACGCTTTTATCCAAAGCGACTTACAGTTTTGAGACTGGACAGCATTGGGAGTTTGTTTTTGCCCGAGCACTACACTGCTGATTCAAATAACCAACTCATCAAGCTTTGATTATTTGAATCAGCTGTGTAGTGCTTGGGCAAAAACCAAAACGTGCACCCAGGGGGGGGCCAAGACAGAGTCTGGAACACCCTGCTCTATTCACACCAACACACAGTGTCTAAACTGCACTATGAAAGTCAAATGCAAATGTGCTCATAAAAACATGATTTATAGGTATAATAATATTTATCTGGTTAGCAACCCCTAACCAAACAGCCAGGTAAACAAAACCGGGCCTTAAAAGGAGGGAGTTACTGTACCTTCAGCAGTGGGTCGGCATGTTGCAGGAACCAGCCCACTATGGCGTGGCCAGCCTCATGGTACGCTACAGTCTTCTTCTCATTGGGCTGCAGAACCTGGGTCTTCTTCTCCAGACCTACACACACACACAGAGACGAAGAGACAGAGAGACACAGAATGGTGAAGATATAATACTGCTGCTATTCCCATCCACACCTCACCTCGTCCTAAAGATGGGACAGTCACAACACTGATCATTTTGTCAGCTATTTTAGATTTAGTTGTTTTCTTTTCCATAGCCTACATGAAAGTAAGAGAGGGTAAACATTCTTGTTTCTAGTTTAAGTTAGTTACAATTGAAGTGTCCTGGCTGCCCATCAGTTCAAAAGACTGACGAGTGACTGATTGACCGCCTGGGAGCTGTGTGGGAGAGCCGGGCAGATCGGCTCAATTAGATCACACAACTGAAAGACGTTAATTCTGCCATTGAGAGGATTGCTTTAAATACTTGGCATGCATGCTTATGATTGGACTAAACTGATGAAAAGGAGCTTCCCATTGGGCACAGACTGGTTAAATAAACGTTGTTTCCACGTTGACTCAATGTTTATGTCAAATTGAATGTCCAATAGTCTCAAGTGGATTTCTCATCTCGAAAACATTTTTGTCAACTAAAATGAAAACAAATTTGTTAGTTATCGGTTTTTTTCCATGGCATCTCGTATCGTTATCGTCATTACTTTTCATCAGGGAAATTAGGTTGTTGACAAATATTTATTGTCATAGTTAGTGTTGATTTAATTAACACTGATTCTCAAAGCAGAGATAACATAATAATACAAGGAGCTGGAAGACATTACAACCCACCTCCAATGACCCTGTCGATGGCCTGCTCAAAGTGTTTTCCTTCCACATGTGGGTTGAGGTGTCTAGCAGCAATGAGGGCAGCCTCGTTACACACGTTAGCTATGTCGGCTCCTGGTGAAGACAGGAAGACAGAGAGGATGTTTAAAATAACTAACATTTACAAGATAATCAACATGGCATCTTCTCACACAGAGCAGCTCAACTTGCCTGTGAAGCCTGGTGTAGCGGCAGCCATCTTCCTGGCCAGTCCATCTTTGTCCATAGCAGGGTCCAGTTTGATGGGCCGTAAGTGCACTTTGAAGATGGACGCCCTGCCTTTGATGTCAGGTGGGCCTGAAACATGTATTGAATTTCATTAAATGCTCATATAGTCCGCTGATTAGAAAATTGTTATGTATGGGTTATAAATGTGTTATGAAGTCCTTATTTAGGTTTACAAAGTCTTACCGAATGGGTAGTACTTGTCAATATGAATATCAATATGCAGTATGTTGACATTTCACAAAAATTACCACAGCACACTATGTTGCCTGAGCTCAAGTTCAATTGAAAGATTCCATACCTATGTAAATCTGCCTGTCAAATCTGCCAGGCCTCATGAGTGCAGGATCCAAGATGTCTGGTCTATTGGTGCCGGCCAGGATGACCACGTTAGTGCTGGTGTTGAACCCTAGAGGAAAAACACCAGGGAATTACCCTTACAGTATATGCATTACAGTTCATTGAGTAAACATTTTAGAGTAATGGCAGAAAATAACAGCTTTATAACAGATGACATCATAGAGTGACAATGTCACATAATAATAGTTATTATTTCATAAATATGATAGTGAGTGTGATCATTTGCCATCTAATTTCACCCATATCTTAACCATACTCACCATCCATCTCTACTAGCAGCTGGTTGAGCGTGTTCTCCTGCTCGCTCTGGCCCCCAAAATTCCCCCCGCCCCTCTTGCGGCCCACAGCATCTATCTCATCTATAAATAGGATACAGGGGGCGTTCTTCCGGGCCATGGCAAACATGTCTCTCACCTACAGGGGGAAAACATTCAATACTACGTCTCTAAAACAGCTTCATTCACATCCTCACAGTAAGCAATGTACTTCAAGTAAAATGGATTGAAATGTATCCCTGTGGTTAGCTAGCTAGTAGATATAGCTATTTTTCAGCTATGATCTAAAATGCACATCATTTGATTTGAAATGGATGTGATGAAGTCATGTGTAAGTGTTCCCTCTGGCTCTAGTGTGAACTCACCCTGGCAGGCCCAACACCCACAAACATCTCCAGGAACTCAGAGCCGTTGACAGTGATGAAGGGGACGTTGGCCTCTCCTGCTGTGGCCCTGGCCAGCAGGGTCTTGCCTGTGCCTGGAGGTCCAGAGAGCACAGCACCCTGAGAAAACACAGCACAACACATGAGATTTAAAACACCTGACATTGATTTATGCAAGTCTAATGGGACGTTCATTTCTCATGGGTTATGAAATGACAGCATACTTCATCTAAAATTAAACTGCATTTTCTCCCTCGAGGCTACATATTCATACCTCGACTATTCCTCTCTGATAAGATACCATTGCACAAACATGCTTTTCGATTGAAGGCCTACACCAGAACTGGTACCAGGCAGTATTAGTAAGCTAGCTACGTTTACTCTGACACTTAGTACCAAATATGTATATAACTAACTCAAGACAGACCAGAGCCTGTCGTTTCCAATTGGAGCAAATGAATCATAGTGGGCAGAATATGCAAGGAGGTGGGCAGAGCCAAGCACGAGCTAGTAAGATCCTATTGGCGCATTCTAGAATTTATTTGCATATTTCCGTTAGGGTACGCCTACTCTGTGAAGTGCGATAACTCAATTCGCACTCCTCCTAAACTATGAAATGTTTAGAAATTTTGGCAAAAGGTAAAGTCTACAAAAAGCATTCCACTCTGTTACAGATTCTAGTTTTGGAAACAGAAAACTGTATGGAGATCAAATGTTTCATAGATGAGAAAATTAGCAGAATGTCAGCTAAAGTCCATCTCACTCCATCTTCTCCCACTGCCGTCCACTGGGCTTCCTCTCATCACCATATTTGGTAGTGAGTGGAAACGCCAACTGGATGCTTCATATTTATACATCTGATGAAATATCTGGCTCATTGTTCTATCTGTGTTAGTACATTTAGCAAGCTAGGTAGCCAGCTAACTAGCGATTAGCATTAGCGGCTAACACAACTTATTTTAGCAACACCTTGCTAAGAAAACCCAAACTAGCAGATAGTAGTTTGCAGACAGTAAGATACACAAACTAATATAATGTATAGAACGTGTGTGGAACGCAGCGTGTCACCAACATTGTTGCATCCATCTGACCATGCAGCGTGAACGGCAAGAAAGTGCTCGTGACTCAGTGGTCGAGCAACTGCTCTCTCCTTAAGTGACAGGGGGCAGAGTTTGGTGTGGTTAGCGGCATAACTAAAAATGTTGTCATTTAGCAGACGCTCTTATCCAGATCGACTTACAGCCAGTGAGTGCATTAATTTTTTATACTGGCCCCCCGTGGGAAACGAACCCACAACCCTGGCGTTGCAAGCGCCATCCTCTACCAACTGAGCTACAGGGGACTAAAACTGGCAGTATACGCGCCAGAGTTGCGTATCACATTTAACAAACCAAACATTGAAATACCGTTATAGAAGGTAAAGTAAAATCCCAAAACCGGTCCGTGCATCAATACCGGTATATAGTAAAATATGGTATACCGCCCAGCCCTAGTTGTCCCATCCCTTACCTTTGGGATCTTAGCCCCCAGGTCCAGGTACTGCTGGGGGTTCTTCAGGAAGTTAACAAACTCCAGGATCTCCAGCTTGGCCTCCTCACAGCCGGCCACGTCCTTGAACTTGGTGTTGATGTTGTCCTTCATCATCTTTGCTGTTGATTCGCTCATGCTGAAGGGACCGCCTCTCCCACCCCCAACGCCTCCTCCCATTGGTCCCCGCCGCAAGGTGAAAAGCAGGAAACCAATCAACAGCAAGGTTGGGATCATGCTCATCATAAATGACCTGTAGGAGGATGGAAAATTGTAAAATGATGATCTGACAGACACAGTTCAAATTATGATGATGATGGTGACAGTCATAGTTAAAATGTCAGCTTGTACATGAAATTGGACTTATGAGTGTGCTTCAAAACAAATCTCAGAGTGAGAAATAGTCTAGCCCTATTAAGGCATGAACGTGTGTGTGTCCCTGCATTAACTCACCCATCACTCTCTGAGTTGTACATGACAGCTGCCCTATGAGAGGGCTCCAAGCCCAGCTCGTGATGAGCCGCCTCCAAGTTCCTCTCGAAGGAGTCCACACTACCGATGTTAAACCACACATAGCTCTGGGGAAAGACCACCAACACAACACAAGTCAATGGATACCCTTTACCACTAGAACCTTTCAGCCTATCAGTACCCGCTAGAGAATGTTGCCGGGCATCCCCTTTTAGCATATGCATCAAATGCATATCAAATCAAATTTGATTTGTCACATACACGTGTTTAGCAGATGTTATTGCGGGTGTAGTGAAATGCTTGTGCTTCTAGCTCCGACAGTGCAGTAATTTCTAAGTAATATCTAACAATTTCACAACATATACCCAATACACACAAATCTAAGTAAGGAATGTAATTTAAGAATATACAGTTGAAATCGGAAGTTTACATTAGCCAAATACATTTAAACTCAGTTTTTCACAATTCCTGACATTTAATCCTAGTAAACATTCCCTGTTTTAGGTCAGTTAGGATCACCACTTTATTTTAAGAATGTGAAATGTCAGAATAATAGTAGAGAGAATTATTTATTTAAGCTTTTATTTATTTAATCACATTCCCAGTGGGTCAGAAGTTTACATACACTCAATTAGTATTTGGTAGCATTGCCTTTAAATTGTTTAACTTGGGTCAAACGTTTCGGGTAGCCTTACACAAGCTTCCCACAATAAGTTGGGTGAATTTTGGCCCATTCCTCATGACAGAGCTGTTGTAATTGAATCAGGTTTGTGGGCATCCTTGCTCGCACACGCTTTTTCAGTTCTGCCCACAAATGTTCTATAGGATTAAGGTCAGGGCTTTGTGATGGCCACTCCAATACCTTGACTTTGTTGTCCTTAAGCCATTTTGCAAGTATGCTTGGGGTCATTGTCCATTTGGAAGACCCATTTGCGACCAAGCTTTAACTTCCTGACTGATGTCTTGAGATGTTGCTTCAATATATCCACATAATTTTCCTTCCTCATGATGCCATCTATTTTGTGGAGTGCACCAGTCCCTCCTGCAGCAAAGCACCCCCACAGCATGATGCTGCCACCCCCGTGCTTCACGGTTGGGATGGTGTTCTTCAGCTTGCAAGCAGCCCCCCTTTTCCTCCAAACATAACGATGGTCATTATGGCCAAACAGTTCTATTTTTGTTTCATCAGACCAGAACATTTCTCCAAAAAGTACGATCTTTGTCCCCATGTGCAGTTGCAAACCGTAGTCTGGCTTTTTTATGGCGGTTTTGGAGCAGTGGCTTCTTCCTTGCTGAGCGGCCTTTCAGGTTATGTCGATATAGGACTTGTTCTACTGTGGATATAGATACTTTTGTACCCGTTTCCTCCAGCATCTTCACAAGGTCCTTTGCTGTTGTTCTGGGATTGAGTTGCACTTTTCACACCAAAGTATGTTAATCTCTAGGTCTCATTCCTGAGCGGTATGACGGCTGCGTGGTCCCATGGTGTTTATACTTGCGTACTATTGTTTGTACAGATGAACGTAGTACCTTCAGGCATTTGGAAATTGCTCCCAAGGATGAACCAGACTTGTGGAGGTCTACAATTTTTCCGATGATGTCAAGCAAAGAGGCACTGAGTTTGAAGGTAGGCCTTGAAATACATCCACAGGTACACCTCCAATTGACTCAAATGATGTAAATTAGCTTATCAGAAGCTTCTAAAGCCATAATATAATTTTCTGGAATTTTCCAAGCTGTTTAAAGGCACAGTCAACTTAGTGAATGTAAAATTCTGACCCACTGGAATTGTGATACAGTGAATTATAAGTGAAATAATCCGTCTGTAAACAATTGTTGGAGAAATTACTTGTGTCATGAACAAAGTAGATGTCTTAACTGACTTGCCAAAACTATAGTTTGTTAACACGAAATTTGTGGAGTGGTTGAAAAACGAGTTTTAATGACTCCAACCTAAGTGTATGTAAATTTATGACTTCAACTGTATACATATATGGACAAGCAATGACAGAGCGGCATGGACTAAGATACAGTAGAATATTATAGAATACAGTATATACATATGAGATGAGTAACGCAAGATATGTAAACATTATTAAAGTGACTAGTGTTCCATTTCTTAAAGTGGCCGGTGATTTCAATTGGCAGCAGCAGCCTCTAATGTGCTAGTGATGGCTATTTAACAGTCTGATGGCCTTGAGATAGAAGTGGCCAGTGATATCAACCTGCAAGGTGCGCAAACATAAGCACCAACGCTTGATAAAGGATTAATTACATGAAAATTGCATGAAGAAATATTTGTGGAAATATAACAATAGTTATTTGTTTAGATAGAGTCAAGGATATGTTTTGTATATTTCTACGAAGAAAAAACATAGGCCTATAGCCTATTTTAGTTTCCCTTACAATAAAAACATTACAGTGTAATCCATTTGATCAACTTTATTTGTAGATTGGATTAGTAATAGAGTTATAGTAATTATTAAAGTCCAGTTACAGAGAATGGTATCAACCTGCAAGGCGCACGGTCAAATGATTTGCTGCTGATAAAAAGTAATAACAAACTTATCATTACACTATTGTCTTTCTAAATTAAAATCAACCTCTTCACCCTGCTTATCATTCAGTTAGGCCTAATTTAAATTGAATTGTGAAGTAAGGTGCACAATTATCGCCCATTCATCCATTTGTCATTCATTCAGTGAGGAGAGAGACACGCATTAGCGCCTGGCTGGGTACCAACGTCCTACATCACATTGTCTTGGCAGGTTAAATTGGGAATACGTGTGAAAAAAAAAAACAGGTAAAAAGGCTCTAAATACTTTTTTGTTTGTCATTTCAAAATTCGGACAAATGAACAGTGTAAAATACAAACATTTAGGAAAAGTCAGGGAAGGACCAAAAAATACAACGTCTGTGGCCGTTGGCTATGGCGGTTCTAGTGTTGTATTCACAAAACACTAACATTCTCATTTAATCAAGCCTACTGAAAGCCCTTATCCACCCCGGCATGAATATTAACTCATCAAGTGATTCATCATGCTAAGTGAGTCACTGTTCTGATTCCAGAGAATGGTAGTTTTTTACCTACCGCATCAGCCTCTGCTCCAGGTACTAGAATGACTCGGACATACTGTTTGTTGACAACCTCTAAACGGTCGACCTGTGAAGAGAACAAACAATGATAGGCCTATTCTTGCATCGTACAGACAGCGACATACAAATAAAATAAAGAACTATGACAAAAGAATAGAAACAAAACAAAAAAAGTTCTGTGTCTGAGCAGTTACATCACCTTGGCATTATGATTGTATTAATAATCAGCATGTATTTCCATAAACAGTATCTCTATTCTTCGCTAAATTGCTGAATTTTGTTCTCACCATTCCTCTGCCAAGGTAGCGATGTACAAAGTCCTTCCAGGTGATCTCCTTGCCTGTGTCTCTGAATTGATAGTAGAGCGTGGCAGAGGATATCCCAGCTAGTACCACTGCCAGGGCACGGAAGTCTTTCTCATCCCATGGGATGTCACCCTAGAAAGGCAGAGGAAAGGTCAACATGTTGAGGTATCTGCATCCAGTGCCATTGAATGTCACACACACACATATATATACCTACCTCAATCACTCCAGTACCCCTGCACATTGAGTATGGTACTGACCTGTATATACACTGAGTGTACAAAACATTAGGAACAGTCTTTCCATGACAGACTGACCAGGTGAATCAGGTGAAGGCTATGATCCCTTGTTGATGTCACTTGTTAAATCCACTTCAAATCAGTGTAGATTAAGGGGATAAGACAGGTTAAATAATGATTTTTAGGCATTGAGACAACAGAGACATGTATTGGTATGTGTGCCATTCAGAGGGTGAATGGGCAAGACAAAAGATTTAAGTGCCTTTGAACGAGGTATGGTAGTAGGTGCCAGGCGCACCGGTATGATTGTCAAGAACTGCAATGCTGCCGGGTTCACGCTCAACAGTTTCCCGTGTGTATCAAGAATGGTTCACCACCCAAAGGACATCCAGCCAACTTGACACAACTGTGGGAAGCACTGGAGTCAACATGGGCCAGCTTCCCTGTGGAACACTTGACACCTTGTAGAGTCCATGCCCCGTTGAATTGAGGCTGTTCTGAGGGCAAAAGGGGGTTCAACTCAAAATTAGAAAGATGCTGTAATGTTTTGTAAACTCAGTGTACTTGCATTCTCGTGTTTCTTCATCTTATCTCCTATCTCGTGTTTTTATTATACTTTTATTTTGTATATTATTATTTTTATTACTGCACTGTTGGGAAAGTTACACCTGTTGTATCCTGTGCAAGTGGCAAATAAACTTTGAACCCACACACAAACAAATAATACCACCCGCTCCTTGATATGACATGTAAATATTGACAGACCATTCACATCACACACCTTCTGCATGCGGCTCCACCAATCTTTCCCTCCTCCTCTTTTCCCTCCGCCTCCACGGCCTCCTGATTCCTTCTCTTTACCATCTGCCAATCAAAAGTGAATGACAGCATTAGGTCGGTCCACTCCAGGCAGACAATGTTGGTTAGAGCCAAGGAACACCATCTAGGTTGGCAGATCTAGTCAGGGTATCCTAGGTTGACCCTTAGACCAGTAGATGATCATTATACTGCATTCCACTAACGTTAGGCTCTATAGCACTGCAATTCATGATTTTATGTAACAGACACTTCTTAGACACGTCTCTTGGGTCTTACCTTTTGGCGGCTTAGTGGAGTATAGTAGTCCATGAGATGAAAAGATTCCATCAGATGACAATAACTTATTTTGTGCAAGCCTCTGAGGAGGAAAGCATGACATCAGGATTATGGGAAAGAGTTTGATTTATAACTGGTTGTGTATCTAGCTAGCTAATAGCTAACTTGGCTAGTTAGTATGTTGACCTAACGTTACTGCCTAGTAGTAGCTAGGCTAGCTAGCTAACTAACTATAGGCACACAGTTCTGACAGCCCAATACAGTTCTAGCCACTGGTTGTATGTTGTATAGAACTAGCTAGAATGGCTTATTAGTTTATGCCTAATTTCAGTTGGCTGAATGAACACATAACAAAACAACCTTACCCTGACCGAGGAGCCACGATAGCTGGGCCGCACAGAGAACTTCCTTGACACTGAACTGCGTACACATGCTCTCACTGCGATCCGTAGAGGCAAAGCAGCCGTCGAGAGCAGCCCCAACATTTGAGCCATTCTCCCGCTGCCACTTGCCCTCCACTCTTTCAAAAAATACTATCAAATGTTCTAGATATTCTTACAGTTCTTCAGTGTAACAGTGTTTGATAACAGCCACAGTCCTTACGTACTGCAAGAGCAAGACTGTCAAACACAGTAAACCACTGAGGACCCCAATAACTAGACCAAAATTATGCCTGACATAATCTGTGTGGGAATGGAAATGTTTTTCCATTGATTGTTACGGTATGGTCAACAGTTGTATGCAAAATGTAACCATATTTAAAATACAGTACAACAAGGATGCTATGCGTTCAATAATTACAAGTTTACAGCTTTAATTAACTTTATTTAATTTATGCGCGAATAGGACGACTTTGGGTCCTTTCTGCAGAGCTCGATCTTGCTCTGTGATTGGCTGAGAAACACACACGCACATTGCATTATGGACGAGCAATTTGACAGGTAGATTACAAAATGTGTATGTTCATGAATAGACAAACAGCTAAATATTCAGCACGTGATAAACACACAGGTAGCAGACATTTTAAATAATATCAACGTCAGTAATATAATTTTGTTTTGCCACCATTTGATGTCAGGTCATCATCATCATGACTATTTCAAACTACAGTATCTAGACCACAGGTATCAACTGGACAGGTAAGCATTTTAGCTAGATCAACCACATCCAAGCAAGGACACATTCATTAAAAGGCAAAAGAGAAGAAGGCTAATGGTATAGTGTGGACAGAGGCTCAGAGGCTTAACTACCCCTGCACGTGCTATAGGAGAAGCGGCTCAGGAGCAGGGGCAGGTGGAATCTCTCGTTGTGGTTTGTTATAGTGAAGACAATCTGTTGAACAAAAAAAAGAGAAAGAAACAGAACATAATAAGGGTTTGTTGGTTTTAGTCTAAAAAATGCTGCAAATTCCTCCAGGTCAAATGTTTTGGTAGGTGTATCGGTACGTCCACGACTGATACACACTCACCTCAACATATGGGTAGATGGAGGTGTGACCCAAACTCTCCCAATATTGTCCAGTCTCAAAACGCATCTTATACATCCCAGGCTTGAACGCTTCTTTAGTGATGAGTCCAGGACAGCGACCATCTTCGTCGGTGGTTCTAAAATAATGAGAACTTTGATGATTCTCCTGCATGGGTTTTTCTCACATATTTAGGTTTCAAAATTGACATGGGTCAAAATGAGTGTGTTTGTATCTTTTCAATTGCATAAATCAATTATTGGTCTGAGTATACCCCCCCCCCCGACTAGAATATGGTATATACAGTGCATGCTGAAAGTATTCAGACCCCTTGACATTTTCCACATTTTGTTACGTTACAGCCTTATTCTAAATAAAAAATTAAAAAAGAATCCTCATAAATCTACACACAATACCTCATAATGACAAGGTGAAAACAGGTTTTTAGATTTTTCTTTAAATGTATTAAAAATAAAAAAAACAGAAATACCTTATTTACATAAGTATTCAGACACTTTGCTATTAGACTCGAAATTGAGCTGAGGTGCATCCTGTTTACATTGATCATCCTTGAGATGTTTCTACAACTTGATTGGAGTCCACCTGTGGTAAATTCAATTGATTGGTCAGGATTTGGAAAGGCACACACCTGTCTATATAAGGTCCCACAGTTGACAGTGCATGTCAGAGCAAAAACCAAGCCATGAGGTCGAAGGAATTGTCCGTAGAGCTCCGAGAAAGGATTGTGTCGAGGCACAGATCTGGGGAAGGGTACCAAAACATTTTTGCAGCATTGAATGTCCCCAAGAACACAGTGGCCTCCATCATTCTTAAATGGAAGAAGTTTGGAACCACCAAGACTCTCTCTAGAGCTGGCTGCCCGGCCAAACTGAGCAATCAGGGGAGAAGGGCCTTGGTCAAGGAGGTGACCAAGAACCGATGGTCACTCTGACAGAGCTCCAGAGTTCTTCTGTGGAGATGGGAGAACCTTCCGGAAGGACAACCATCTCTTCAGCACTCCACCAATCAGGCCTTTATGGTAGTGGCCAGACAGAAGCCACTCCTCAGTAAAAGGCACATGACCACCCACTTGGAGTTTGCCAAAAGGCACCTGAAGGACTCTCAGACCATGAGAAACAAGATTATCTGGTCTGATGAAACCAAAATTGAACTCTTTAGCCTAAATGCCAAGCGTCACGTCTGGAGGAAACCTGGCACCATTCCTACGGTGAAGCATGATGGTGGCAGCATTATGCAGTGGGGATGTTTTTCAGCAGCATGGACTGGGATACTAGTAAGGATCGAGGGAAAGATAAACGGAGCAAAGTACAGAGAGATCCTTGATGAAAACCTGCTCCAGAGCGCTCAGGACCTCAGACTGGTGCGAAGGTTCACCTTCCAACAGGACAACAACCCTAACCACACAGCCAAGACAACGCAGGAGTGGCTTCCGGACAAGTCTCTGAATGCCCTTGAGTGGCCCAGCCAGAGCCCTGACTTGAACCCGATCAAACATCTCTGGAGAGAACTGATAATAGCTGTGCAGTGACGCTCCCCATCCAACCTGACAGAGCTTGAGAGGATATGCAGAGAAGAATGGGAGAAACCCCAAATACAGGTGTGCCAAGCTTGTAGCATCATACCCAAGAAGACTCGAGGCTGTAATCGCTGCCAAAGGTGCTTCAACAAAGAACTGATAAATGGTCTGAATACTTACATAAATGTGATTTCAGTTTTTTTATTTTTTAATACATTTGCAAACATTTCTAAAAGCCAGTTTTTGCTTGGTCATTATGGGGTATTGTGTGTAGATTGATGAGGAAGAAAATTAATGTAATCAATTTGAGAATAAGGCTGTAATGTAACAAAATGTGGAAAAAGTGAAGGGGTCTGAATACTTTCCAAATGCACTGTACATATGAAGAGGGTAAAAGAGTATGTGAACATTAAATTGACCAGTGTTCAATTACTATGTACATAGGGCAGCAGTCTCTAAGTTGCAGGGTAGGGTGCCAGGTGGTAGCCGGCTAGAACAGTGACTACGGTTAAGGGCAGGGTACTGGGCGGAGGTCGGCTAGTGGTGACTATTTAACAGTCTGATGGCTTGGAGGTGGTGTTATTCAGTCTTCCGGTCCCAGCTTTGATGCACCTGTACTGTCGCCGCCTTCTAGATGGTAGCAGGGTGAACAGGCCGTGGCTCAGGTGGCTGAGGTCCTTGATGATTTTCTTGACCTTCCTGTGACACCGGGTGCTGTAAATGTCCTGGAGGGCAGGCAGTGTGTCCCCGGTGATGCATTGGGCTGACTGCAATACCCTCTGGAGAGCGTTGCGGTTGCAGACGGTGCAATTGCCATACCAGGCGGTGATACAGTCCGACAGGATGCTCTCAATGGTGCATCTGTAGACGTTTGTGAGGGTCTAAAGGTATTGCATCTCCATGCATTGTCAGGCTATCACTCTATTAATTAATAATAGCAGTGAACATTTCACAAATAGGCCTAAAGCTAGGCTAGCTAGATCCCAAAGGTACACTACCGTTCAAAAGTTTGGGGTCACTTAGAAATGTCCTTGTTTTCGAAAGAAAAGCAATTTCTTGGTCCATTAAAATAACATCAAATTGATCAGAAATACAGTGTAGACATTGTTAATGTTGTAAATGGCTATTGTAGCTGGAAAATGCTGTTTTTTAATGGAATATCTACATAGGCGTACAGAGGCCCATTATCAGCAACCATCAGTCCTGTGTTCCAATGGCACGTTGTGTTTGCTAATCCAAGTTTATCATTTTAAAAGACTAATTGATCATTAGAAAACCCTTTTGCAATTATGTTAGCACAGCTGAAAACTATTGTGCTGATGAAAGAAGCAATAAAACTGGCCTTCTTGAGACTAGTTGAGTATCTGGAGCATCAGCAATTGTGGGTTCGATTACAGGCTCAAAATGGCCAGAAACAAAGAACTTTCTTCTGAAACTCGTCAGTCTATTCTTGTTCTGAGAAATGAAGGCTATTCCATGCGAGAAATTGCCAAGAAACTGAAGATCTCGTACAACGCTGGCTCTAACCAGAATAGAAAGAGGAGTGGGAGGCCCTGGTGCACAACTGAGCAAGAGGACAAATACATTAGAGTGTCTAGTTTGAGAAACAGATGCCTCACAGGTCCTCAACTGGTAGCTTCATTAAACAGTACCCGCAAAACACCAGTCTCAACATCAACAGTGAAGAGGCCACTCCAGGATGATGACCTAGGCAGAGTTGCAAAGAAAAAGTCCAGTGTCTGTGTTCTTTTGCTCATCTTAATCTTTTCTTTTTATTGGCCAGTCTGAGATATGGCTTTTTCTTTGCAACTCTGCCTAGTTAAGCATCCCGGAGTCGCCTCTTCACTGTTGACGTTGAGACTGGTGTTTTGCGGGTACTGTTTAATGAAGCTGCCAGTTGAGGACCTGTGAGGCTCCAGATACTCAACTAGTCTCAAGAAGGCCAGTTTTATTGCTTCTTTAATCAGCACAACAGTTTTCAGCTGTGCTAACATAATTGCAAAATGGTTTTCTAATGATAAATTAGCCTTTTAAAATGATAAACTTGGATTAGCAAACGCAACGTGCCATTGGAACACAGGACTGATGGTTGCTGATAATGGGCCTCTGTACGCCTATGTAGATATTCCATTAAAAATCAGCCGTTTCCAGCTACAATAGCCATTTACAACATTAACAATGTCCACACTGTATTTCTGATCAATTTGATATGCAACACATAGAGGGAGAAGAGAGTGAGACAGTAGTAGGCCTATATCAGGCAGCTGTTCACCCTACCCCACAGTCACTAGTTTCCAGATGACCAGGAGTGAGTCCAGTCGGTGCAGACTGAGGGCCATTCTTGCCCCTGGGACTCCGTCACCTGTGTTTAACACATAGGTGGTCAGGGGGCTGTCTGGAAGTGTGGAAGACATATTTGAAGACTGTGGAGAAAGATACAAAATGGGGATGTGATGGTCCTACAGTCATATTTAAGTGTTAGTTTCTGATGATAATAATACAAATAAGGCCTACATTTTATTTATTTATTCAGCTGCCTTTACTTTGTTTGTTTATATACATTGTTTATAACGGGAGAATAGCCAATACCTTAGTTTTTCATTTGAATGTTTTTAAAACTTTTAACAGGCTTAAACCTCTACTTTCCCTATGTTTTTTTCTTCATAGTCTCTGCCACTATATGAGTTTACACGTCACTTGGTTTCTTTTGCACACTTTACATAAAGAATAGCAGAGCACCGTTTAGTGTAAATGGAATAAGCTATTCATATTTGTGTATTTTAGTCTGAGAAAAAAACATATTTGTCCATCCATTCAATATCAACCCCTCTGCCAAACTGTTGAGAACTCTTCCAAACACCCAAAGACACTTTACATGATCAAATACTTATATTATGATTCAACCCAATTATCAATAGGTAGCCTAAAGGCCTATGACATTTAAGACGGCCAATTGCTGACACCTCATTTGATTGAATTATACTCAGTGGTCACAGAATAAGATCTTGCACACAATAAATAGGCTAAACAAATTAGGCTACATTAATAGTGTAGTTGCTTCGTAATAAACTGGCTATTATGAGTAATTACCTGGTTACAATGCAGAATTGCGAGTTGATTGGCACCTTGTCACGCACAACAACGCAAGAAGACTCCGGCGTGTAGTCCTCCTTGATGCCGATAACTTGTTGCTTTACGTCTAGGCTAGCCTATATGAATCTAGAGTTTATTTGGTTCTCAACACTCACCCGTAGTGCAGTTGTATCAAACAAGACAGAATAGTTCATTTTCATACTTTGCGAGGGCAACTTACTCTGGATTCACTATGCGCAAACAAACGTCAGGTGCCAAAGGTTAACCAGACCTATCTCTAAAATAACCTAAGCTTACTGTGCGTAATCTTGTCAATATTGACAGTTTGGCCACATGGTTGATACAATGTTAATTGTGGTTGTCTGGCCGACTTAATTGCCTACAACAAGATAATAGAAAATAGACAATCGAATTGGAATAGTCCACAGATAAAAAATAATAATAATGTCCAAACCACTGGGGTAATTGTTAACAACTTGGCTTATGAATATACAAGTCAGGTGAATTAGTGAGCAGAGTACAGAGAACAATGGCAATCAATAAGCTACACTTTTCTAGGCCTAGGCTACTCCTTCAGTGTATGGTCAAATGAACTGAACCACTCAGTTATATGAAAATAGTTTTTTCTATTTTTCTAGGCCTACTATCACAATGTCTAATTTACATTTAGAATTTATTAAACACAAAGAGCCACCCGGCTTCATTAAACATATATAATAGGGCTGTCAAACGATTTTAAAAAATGTCATTGAGTTAATAGCAGGATTTGCTGTGATTTAATCAGAATCGCAAATTCAGAAATTGCTCAAAATGAGCTGTAATTTAAGAATGTATATATAAAAATCATTATAAGAATATTGGTGTCTTGATTTTGTCCAAAGTAATGGTAAGCAAAATCAGGTAAATTGATCAAGCATACTCTCTTTAACCTCAATGTCAACTTGTTTTGACATCACATTGTTGTTTTTAGCTGTATAGATAATGTATGTTGGATATTTTCAGTGTATTGTCATTGCTTACAGACAATGCAAATTAATCACGATAAAAAAAAGTGTGCACTAAAATTACAAAAAGTTAACTCGAGTTAACTGATTAACCCTGACAACCCTACTATATAAAAACGCAAAGTAAAAGCAAAATGTTTTATATAATGAATGAATGGGAATCTAACAAGAAACATTTAAATTGTAAGTCAATTCATCAAGTTGTGTAAGGGATCGTCATATCTTCAACGTTCATTCTTTTTTCAGAGTACATAAATACAGTCTTGAATAATTTTCTTGCTGCTCATTTAGAAAGTGAAATGTACTTTTTTCAACAGTTGTTTTCAAACAGTCACCATGGTTTAGTAAAACCATAGAAACTGAATAAATTTCTATGAGTAGAACATTATACAGTTAGCATTATTGACAATTGTTATTACTATTTACAATGAACAATAGTTTTTAGTTGTGACATTGAAGCACCCCCTGAGTTTGACACCAGCCGAAATGGTTCCCAAAATAACTCAATCAACAATGACAAAACATGGTGGTTTGGTTTATAAGTACACAGCATATACTGTACATGTACATATCTCACTTCTACAATGGTGACAGTGAGGGGAGGGCGGTACCCATTCTTAAACAACAGCAGTGACTCCTCTAGGTTCATAATTGAGTTTCTCAATCAGTCAAATAAACACTATAATTCACCAAAGCCATAAGCCCATGCACACTGGCCCCTGGGGTTTTATAGGGGCGACATCTGTGTTATAGTTCCAAACACGGCTGGCTTCAAATAATGACAACAGGCCTGGTGATAACGAGCCCAGCGATAACACCATGCAGACAGCTGTTGTCACACTGACAGTCTTTATTAATGTGGACACTGGGAAGTTGGTAGAGACGAATATGGAAAGATTACAGGAGAACGCACAGGGAGTGTAGATGCCTGATACTGTTGGCCTATGCCTGGTAAATCTTGAAGGGCTTTTTATATATCAATTTATGTTTTACACATTCCTATTCTGCGGCGATCTGGATACAGTAAGTGGCAAAGAGCATTGCAAATCCTTATCGCTAATCTGAGAGAAAATGTAGTTGTGTAAATGCGTGTCGGTCTGTCTGTCTGAAGCATATCTGTTGTCAGTCCCCTTTTGCAAGACACTACACTTTTTTTAAGCTGCCATATTTTGTTGAGTCCACAAGTCAGTAGAAACCTGTTCTAAATGAGAGATGGAGACACGAAGGTAGGCAGAAGGAGAGATGGAGACACAAAGGTAGGCAGAAGCTGATATGGAGACACGAAGGTGGGCAGAAGCTGATATGGAGTCACAAAGGTCGGCAGAAGCTGACTGTGAGAAAGGAACTGAGGGTAACCAAGGAGATATGTCCTATTCATCAAACCAAAAAATTCACTGACGATCCAACTTTGTAATAAAGCTGGACGATATGGACATAAATCCATATTGGGATAAATTGCCTGAATTGATGCAATTACGATAAATAGAATGTTACGTTTGTAACACTAATGTGCACCACCGTTTTTTTTAATGATCCTTTAAACTACTACTACTAGTTTGATGGTTGTAGCCATCAATTGTCCCATTAACAAATCACCCATATTAGCAAGCTTATTTCATTTCAAACTTCACATTTCTCTAGTATAGGCTACTTATCGTAATGAACGATATCAGCAAAATGCCTGCGATAAGTGATCGGTATGGTTGTTGTCGATCATTTCCGGTTTATCGTCCCAGTTCTACTTTGTAATGAACAGTATATTTATTTGAGGGTTGTGTCCATGTTGACTGTGATTAGAGATGATCACGCCTCCTTTCACTTGAACCCCCTCCATCTCTTTGTACTGCTGTCACTGGGTTCCTTTAGTCTAGAGAGAGTAAAAGTGAGAATATTGAGAATTTAAATTAGAAAAACTTTATTGGTCCACGCATTGTGGACATTTCTTTTCGGCTTCACCACATAAAAACAGACATTAAACATTATCAGGAGCACATCATCCTCGATCATTACATTGCTTTACAAAGCACAAAAGTGCTACAGTGCGAGTGCAGTTTCAAGTTAATGTACTGTACATTCTATCATTGGTCTTAAAACCAAAATCAACATCAAGAGTTTCTAATTAAAAATAAATCATCATCAAGACTGAAGGGCACCTAGTCATCTACACAATTCAATAATTAATATGTATGTACATCATGATCCGAGACCATTATCAACAACATAAGCACCTCGATATCACAATATATTAACCCAGACTTATTTTCTCTCTTGTTAACATGTAGTTACATACTGTAAATACACAGCATTCCAATGCAAACAATACTTTTTTGTGATATAGTTCTGTCAAATCACCATTATTAGCCATACATACCTGATCTCCTCACATGTCATCCTCCAGATCAGAGTGATGGTTATTTATCTGAGAAACCAAAAGACAGAGAGAAGACTTTAAACAGATGCACAGATGGAGAATTACAGTCACAGTGCAATCAGGATATTTTTTAATCGACCAACAAAATCAACTTAATCAAATACCCAGCTGTGGTAAATTTAGAGATCACTTGTTGATCTGTGAAAGTGATGGTTTCTAAATGAGGATGAGCAAATATAGCACAGTGTTTGTCATGTCAGCACATAACCAAGTTTAGGAGGGATGAGTGACATTGCCTGGCAACCTTAGGAGGTGGGATTACCCCTTGCCATTGGGGCAGATTTGGGATGCAGTACTCTGGTTGACTGGTTAACAATCTTCTCCTCTATTCATACCTTCCATCTTCCTCCCCCTTCTCCCTCAACTGTCAGAGAAACAATGGCTCACCCGCCTGGTGGACCCACCTACAGCTCAGCCCACACAGCCGCAGGTTGAGGTTTATTGTCATTGATCTTGCCCTGTAGGCAGCACTGACCGATTTCCACTAGATGGGCCAGCTGAAAAGTAAAAATGGTCTATATCTTAAAAATTTATGGGGAAGAAAAATCACTTTTTGGTTAGTAGTGTGGTTCAGGTTGGGGTTAAGGTTAAGTTTAAAATCAGACTTTATGATTTTGTGGCTGTGCCAGCTAGTGACCACTGCAGAGCTGCCTCCGGGACAAGATTCATGACAATACATGCCAACATGCACACGGCCTGGCATAGATAATGAACAGTGGTGCAGAGCCAGAACCCTTATTGTGTCAGACAGGCAGGGAGACACTTGGCTGTAAATGTAGATAATTACTCTTCTTTTGAAGAAAGAACAATCAGCTACTAAATAATCAATTATTGTTCTACCAATATCTTGCTCTCTTTGTTCAATGACACACACCCTCTGTTAGAAAACTATGACAACCAACAATGGCAGCTAATATGCTAAGATATTTACTTTCAGAAAACGTTAGCCCGCACAGAAGAAGTGTTACTGGTGGTGCAGGTGTAATGTGTCTCCAGCAGAGGGAGGCAGAGTAATGTGTTGTTTACCCTGCGGTGGCGCTGGTAGTGTTGGAGGTGGTGGTCATCATTGCAGGCCTCTCCAGGCTCTGGGCTCTCCCTCTGTCTGTGGGGGAGGCTGATGGGAGAATCGTACAGACTGCTGACTGAGTCCGACACACTGCCCTCCTGGGTCGGAGGGGAATCTGGACCACAGACACACACAGAGAGAGAGACACAGTTTGTCAGCAATAGTATGCTCTGTTTTCAGTGCACCTCAGCTTTCCATGGAAAATATAGCCCTGCTTTTAACAGTTTTTATTTTGCAGAGAGCGCCACATTAGTCAACCTGCCAATCCTGTACACAACATTTTGGATGCAGTGCTCACTGATGTAAGATGTCCCAATCGATAATAAATAGTCATAATGGGCCAACAATCTGATGACGAATAGATTTTCTTTACTCCCATCAATGAATAATACGTTTCCCCTCCAGTTGTTATCTCTTATCAAGAGGATTAGAAATAATGTAATTGTACAGTGGCTTGCGAAAGTATTCATCCCCCTTGGCATTTTTCCTATTTTGTTGCCTTACAACTTGGAATTAAAATTGATTTTTTGGGGGGTTTGTATCATTTGATTTACACAACATGCCTACCACTTTGAAGATGCAAAATATGTTTTATTGTGAAACAAACAAGAAATAAGACAAAAAAACAGAACTTGAGCGTGCATAACTATTCACCCCCCCAAAGTCAATACTTTGTAGAGCCACCTTTTGCAGCAATTACAGCTGCAAGTCTCTTGGGGTATGTCTCTATAAGCTTTGCACATCTAGCCACTGGGATTTTTGCCCATTCTTCAAGGCAAAACTGCTCCAGCTCCTTCAAGTTCTATGGGTTCCGCTGGTGTACAGCAATCTTTAAGTCATACCACAGATTCTCAATTGGATTGAGGTCTGGGCTTTGACTAGGCCATTCCAAGACATTTAAATGTTTCCCCTTAAACCACTCGAGTGTTGCTTTAGCAGTATGCTTAGGGTCATTGTCCTGCTGGAAGGTGAACCTCCGTCCCAGTCTCAAATCTCTGGAAGACTGAAACAGGTTTCCCTCAAGAATTTCCCTGTATTTAGCGCCATCCATCATTCCTTCAATTCTGACCAGTTTCCCAGTCCCTGCCGATGAAAAACATGGATGGTGTTCTCGGGGTGATGAGAGGTGTTGGGTTTGCTCAGACATAGCGTTTTCCTTGATGGCCAAAAAGCTTAATTTTAGTCTCATCTGACCAGAGTACCTTCTTCCATACGTTTGGGGAGTCTCCCACATGCCTTTTGGCGAACACCAAACATGTTTGCTTATTTTTTTCTTTAAGCAATGGCTTTTTTTCTGGCCACACTTCCGTAAAGCCCAGCTCTGTGGAATGTACGGCTTAAAGTGGTCCTATGGACAGATACTCCAATCTCCGCTGTGGAGCTTTGCAGCTCCTTCAGGGTTATGTTTGGTCTCTTTGTTGCCTCTCTGATTAATGCTCTCCTTGCCTGGTCCATGAGTTTTGGTGGGCAGCCCTCTCTTGGCAGGTTTGTTGTGGTGCCATATTCTTTCCATTTTTTAATAATAGATTTAATGGTGCCCCGTGGGATGTTAAAAGTTTCAGATATTTTTTTATAACCCAACCCTGATCTGTACTTCTCCACAACTTTGTCCCTGACCTGTTTGGAGAGCTCCTTGGTCTTCATGGTGCCGCTTGCTTGGAGGCGCCCCTTGCTTAGTGGTGTTGCAGACTCTGGGGATTTTTAGAACAGGTGTATATATACTGAGATCATGTGACAGATCATGTGACACTTAGATTGCACACAGGTGGACTTTATTTAACTAATTATGTGACTTCTGAAGGTAATTGGTTGCACCAGATCTTATTTAGGGCTTCATAGCAAAGGAGGTGAATCCACTTTTCCGTTATTAATTTTTTCGAGTTTTTTGAAACAAGTTATTTTTTTCATTTCACTTCACCAATTTGGACTATTTTGTGTATGTCCATTAAATGAAATCCAAATAAAAATCCATTTAAATTATAGGTTGTAATGCAACAAAATAGGAAAAGGGGGAAGAATACTTTTGCAAGGCACTGTATGTAGCACTAAAGAATCTGAGAAATTCTCAAAGTTAAGCTTCCAATGAAGAGATAGTATAAAACAAATCCCCAGCCTCCAGCCCAGCTCTTCTACCTGACTGGTCCTTCCTCTGTCTGTCCATCTTGTCCACGCTGTCGAGCAGTCCGTCAATCTGCACCTTGATCAGAGTCAACTCCCTCTTTATGGCCAGCACCTCTGCCATCTTCACTGCAGATAGAGAGTGAGAGAGAGAGAGAAAGGGAGATAAGGATGAATCCTCTTTCGCACAAATATCCCATTGACATAAATGTATGAGTGCAGGTCTTAAAAAAGGATCTGGCCCAGAGGGGTGTAATAGTGTATAAACAGACTAGAGCTCTGCTACCTGACCCGAGTCCGACGAGCCTCGACATTATACATTGGGTTAGGGCTGGGTAGGGCCTGTTTTTTCATCAATAACTAGGGGACGGGACGGGCAGGGCTCGGGTGTCACTAAATGTACACTACATTACATCGAACATCTCATTCCAAAATCATGGGCATTAATATGGAGGTAGTCCCCCCTTTGCTGCTATAACAGTCTCCACTCTTCTGGGAAGGCTTTCCACTAGATGTTGGAACATTGATGTGGGGACTTGCATCCATTCACCCACAAGAGCATTAGTGAGGGTGGGCACTGATGTTGGGTGATTAGGCTCGCAGTCGGTGGCTCGCAGTCGGTGTTCCAATTCATCCCAAAGGTGTTTGATGGGGTTGAGGTCAGGCCAGTCAAGTTCTTCCACACCAATCTCGACAAACAATTTCTGTATGGACCTCGCTTTCTGCACAGGGGCATTGTCATGCTGAAACAGGAAAGAGCTTTCCCCAAACTGTCGTCTAGAATGTCATTATATGCTGTGGCATTAAGATTTCCCTTCACTGGAACTAAGGGGCCTAGCCTGAACCATGAAAAACAGCCCCAGACCATTATTCTTCCTCCACCAAACTTTACAGTTGGCACTGTATTGGGGCAGGTAGTGTTCTCCTGGAATGGAAATCCATTTCATGAAGCTCTTGATGAACCGTTCTTGTCCTGACATTGCTTCCAGAGGCAGTTTGGAACTCTCTAGTGAATGTTGCAGCCGAGGAGAGACAATTTTTACGCGCTACGCACTTCAGCACTCGGCGGTCCCGTTCTGTAAACTTGTGTGGCCTACCACTTTGCGGCTGAGCCATTGTTACTCCTAGACGTTTCCACTTCACAATATCAGCACTTACAGTTGACCGGGGCCGCTCTAGCAGGGCAGAAATTTGACGAACTGACTTGTTGGAAAGGTGGCATCCTATGACGGTGCCACGCTGAAAGTCACTGAGCTTTTCAATAAGGCCATTCTACTCCCAATGTTTGTCTATGGAGATTGCATGGCTGTTTGCTCAATTTTATACACCTGTCAGCAACGGGTGTGGCTGAAATAGCCGAATCCACTAATTTGAAAGGGGTGTCCACATACTTTTGTATATATAGTGTATCACTAACATTTTGAAGCTGAGCCATTTGCTCGCGCTCTGCTGCGCAGTACAGTCATATCTGAATAAGATCATAACATTGTGTCAGAAGATGCTTCAACCTTGTCAAATATAAGAAAGGAGAGATTATTTCTCAGAAAATAATAATGTTCCTTGAGTTTTGTTGGAGTTTAGAGTGACGAAAAGTAGCTAACAGCTCACTGGTCTCATGTCTCTTCATTGAGCAGAGCAGCCCAAGCGGAGCCGTTGCTATGGTTACTGTCTCAAAGCCGCCATAAGCAGAGTGAGCTGCCTGCGCGCAGGGAGCGAGTGAGACAGAGAGGAGCAGCTAATGGATTTACTAACAGAGTTATTTCTGGTTTCGGGCCGGGCTTTAAATTTGGCAGAAGCAATCGGGCCTGGGTAATCGGCAAACGTGCCGCCCTTACTTATCCTCCACATTGTCTTCTTATTCATGCCATCACTGTAAGCACCCTAACATCTCCCTTAACATCTCCTCTCTCCAGTAGCCTATGGTCTGTAATGGAACATTCATATCACAACCCTGGCTCGGAGAAAACCACCATGAAACTCTTTACTGTTAAAAGCTGTTCGACCTCTGCAGCTACAACTGCAATCTAATTTCCCTCTGATGGGCTGGCAGTAAAAACTATTAAGGCTTGTAATAAACTAGTATAAACATTTCTTATTTGTTATGCACTATTAACTTGGGATAATTGCAGCATGCTGCTAGACTGGGTATGGTAGGCTTGGTAGTGGAAGGAGCAGAGAGGGGCCCTGCTTTTAATGAAGAGACCATCTGGTGCCTCTCACTGTGCCCTGGGGCTCCCAGCGCTGCCGTTCCCCATGCAGAGATGACATTACAGGGTGGGTCTGTGTGTGGTGAGGGTGATCTGTGTGTGGTGAGGGCTGGTCTGTGTGTGGTGAGGGCTGGTCTGTGTGTGGTGAGGGCTGGTCTGTGTGTGGTGAGGGCTGGTCTGTGTGTGGTGAGGGTTGGTCTGTGTGTGGTGAGGGCTGGTCTGTGTGTGGTGAGGGTTGGTCTGTGTGTGGGGAGGATGGGTCTGTGTGTGGGGAGGGTGGGTCTGTGTGTGGTGAGGGTGGGTCTGTGTGTGGTGAGGGTGGGTCTGTGTGTGGGGAGGGTGGGTCTGTGTGTGGGGAGGGTGAGTCTGTGTGTGGGGAGGGTGTGTAAGAGTGTCACACAGTATGACAGATTGTGTATGTGTATGAGTGTGTGTTAACTTTGTAAAGAATGTGTTGTGAGTGAAGGTGTGTGTGTTATAGTGTGTGGGGTCCCTTACACTTGGCCCTGGTGCTGGAAGAGCCGGTGCGCAGGGCGCTCCTCTTGCCCTGTGGTCTGTCTCTGGAGCGTTGCAGGCCGGAGGAGGAAGAGGGGTCGCGGGAGTGTTTCATAGGGCTGGGCTCCACTGGGACTGGCATTACAGAGGCTGGGACACGCTGGTAGTCAAACACCCTGTGTGGAAAACACACAATATTACTTATGTACGCATAAGCGGGAGCACAGCTCCCCTCGGATTGACGCACAGAAGAAATATCAGCCCGCGCAGAGAAGCACAAGATTGAACTTCACTCAACTTTCTGGAGTCATTCCCCTGTAGTGAACACTATCATTGTTTCGCTCTACTGTGGGAATTGTGCTCAAATCAACGCAATATTAGCCACTTTCAATGTAACATACTGAAACTAAACGAACTATGCAAGATTTAGTATGCAAAACTAACTAAGAGATTTTCTTGTAGGCAGAGCGCATCGGAGTAGGATTCTATTGCATTGACAGGCACGACTCAGGCCTGTACTCTACACATACCGGTGTGCCATAACCAATCAGAGCTGCAGTAGGCCTATATGCAAATAGCCATTGCCATATATGGATCTGTTCCATTCAATTTGAACTAGACTGTGTTTACAGCATGAGCGGTTGCATGTAGATGGGCTTGTTTTGAGATCAAAGCGAGAGCTGCATGTAGCCACCTGTGCACATTTGTTCATATTCTTTGCTAGTTAGTGAGTTATTAGCCCAGTTATAGCTAATTTGTAGTCAACAATGAGGGAGTGGTTGCTTCCTATAAGAGCACAAAAGGTGTGAATTTTTAGCTATCTTTGAAAAGCGAGTCAGGTAAAGGTCTTGAATAAGCTAAGTAGCCAATAGGCAGAGGGTAGCATAATTTGTCTGATTCTCTGTAATAATGGTATGGAATAATAATGCATTTTGTTTTGTAAAGTGGTTTCTTGCATCAAACAACACAACATTTTCAGTCACCTCCTTGTCTGTAGGACAAGTGGATAAACAGGTTAATGTCAAGCCCTGCATGATTTTTTTCCAAAGTCTCATGACATGTCAGCCTACATTGAACACCACACATTTGCTACTACTGTAGGCTGAATGATAGAACAGCTATTTCCATGTTAAAATGTTATGGAATACATTTTTCTCCATAGCCACAGTAGCCTACTTGGCCATTGTTAAAACTGTAACTTAAAGTGGGTACAGCCTCAGTGTTCACAGTAAACGCGCATAGGAAGTTGCACAGAATTTTCACAAAGTTCAAGTTTGCGCTCAGCAGACCTGAAATTTACTCAGTGCCCAAAAAAATTAGAGGGAACATTGCTTATGAGTAGGGTCCTGAGCCTTTCCTGGCCATGTGATAGGCCCTAGTTTTTTTTAGCTCATAAACTGAGGATTCTCCTGCTAGAATGAGCTTTAAAACAATCGGCTGCTGATATGTCAGAGCAACCATTCCTGAATTCCCAAAAGGGAGTTGGACAATACACTCTTAGAAAAAAGGGTTCCAAATGGTTCTTCGGCTGTCCCCATAGGATAACCCTTTTTGGTTCCAGGTAGAACACTTTTGGGTGTCACGCCCTGGCTCTGGGGACTCTTATATGTTGAGCCAGGGTGTGGATTTTTCTATGTTATAGTTTTCTATGTTGTGTTCTAGTTCGTGTATATCTATGTTGGCCAGGGTGGTTCCCAATCAGAGGCAGCTGTAGCTTATTGTCTCTGATTGGGGACCATATTTAGGTAGCCTGTTTGGCACAGTTTATGGTGGGATCTTGTTCCAAAAGGTTTGTTTTGGTGTCATTTAACCTAGGACTTCACGTATCGTTTGTTTTGTTGTTTTTGGTTCGTGTTGTGTACTGCAATAAAGTATGTACGCCTATCACGCTGCGCCTTGGTCCGCTTCATCTTATAACGATCGTGACATTGGGTTCCATGTAGAACCCCCAAAAAGGTTCTACCTGGAACCTAAAGGGTTCTACCTGCGGCCAAAAAGGGTTCTTCAAAATGTTATCCTATGGCAACAGCCGAAGAACCCTTTAAGGTTCTAGATGGCACCTTTTTTTCTAAGAGTGTAGACTTTCCATATGATTACAGTCCACTGCAGGATGAGACTCAATCTCCCTGGCAGGCTGGCAGCACTGAAAACACCTGCCTCCAGACAGATTTGGAGTAAAAGGTTATTCATTCCAATAAAATGGTGGACTCTTTTATAATATCCATAAGCTATTTGGTGTCATTACGTATTGAGTGTATAGTCTATAATCACAGTGATATAATACATTTAAATTGATCTCATAGCCTGGTGCACTAAATACCTCTGGTCCAAAGAGCATTGTCTGGGGTGCTTTGATTTGCGCTGGTCTCTCTCAATTCAATTTCAATTTTCAATTCAATTTAAGGGCTTTATTGGCATGGGAAACGTATGTTAACATTGCCAAAGCAAGTGAAGTAGTAAACAAAAGTGAAATAAACAATAAATATTAACAGTAAACATTACACTCAGAAGTTCCAAAAGAATAAAGACATTTCAAATGTCATATTATGTATACAGTGTTGTAACAATGTGCAAATATAAATATGGGTTGTATTTACAATGGTGTTTGTTCTTCACAGGTTGCCCTTTTCTTGTGGCAACAGGTCACAAATATTGCTGCTGTGATGGCACACTGTGGTTTTTCACCCAGTAGATAATGGAGTTTATCAAAATTGGGTTTGTTTTCGAATTCTTAATATGGTCATACATTTGGCAGGAGGTTAGGAAGTGCAGCTCAGTTTCCACCTCATTTTGTGGGCAGTGTGCACATAGCCTGTCTTCTCTTGAGAGCCAGGTCTGCCTACGGCGGCCTTTCTCAATAGCAAGGCTATGCTCACTGAGTCTGTACATAGTCAAAGCTTTCCTTAAGTTTGGGTCAGTCACAGTGGTCAGGTATTCTGCCACTGTGTACTCACTTTTTAGGGCCAAATAGCATTAGAGTTTTCTCAGTTTTTTTGTTAATTCTTTCCAATGTGTCAAGTTATTCTCTTTTTGTTTTCTCATGATTTGGTTGGATCTAATTGTGTTGTTGTTGTTGTCCTGGGGCTCTGTGGGGTCTGTTTGTGTTTGTGAACAGAGCCCCAGGACCAGCTTACTTAGGGGACTCTTCTCCAAGTTCATCTCTCTGTAGGTGATGGCTTTGTTATGGAAGGTTTGGGAATCGCTTCCTTTTAAGTGGTTATAGAATTTAGCGGCTCTTTTCTGGATTTTGATAATTAGCGTTATTGGCCTAATTCTGCTCTGCATGCATTATTTGGTGTTTTACGTTGTACACAGAGGATATTCTTGCAGAATTCTGCATGTAGTCTCTCTCTCTCTCTCTCATTACCACAAGCCCTTTTTCCACAATGAAGGTGCCACCAACCTCCTGTGGTGTGCATGCTTCCCAGCGGATAGAGGTAGTGGTGCTGTTTCAGATCAACCTCCTGTGGTGTGCATGCTTCCCAGCGGATAGAGGTAGTGGTGCTGTTTCAGATCAACCTCCTGTGGTGTGCATGCTTCCCAGCGGATAGAGGTAGTGGTGCTGTTTCAGATCAACCTCCTGTGGTGTGCATGCTTCCCAGCGGATAGAGGTAGTGGTGCTGTTTCAGATCAACCTCCTGTGGTGTGCATGCTTCCCAGCGGATAGAGGTAGTGGTGCTGTTTCAGATCAACCTCCTGTGGTGTGCATGCTTCCCAGCGGATAGAGGTAGTGGTTCTGTTTCAGATCAACCTCCTGTGGTGTGCATGCTTCCCAGCGGATAGAGGTAGTGGTGCTGTTTCAGATCAACCTCCTGTGGTGTGCATGCTTCCCAGCGGATAGAGGTAGTGGTGCTGTTTCAGATCATCTGACTGTGGTGTGCATGCTTCCCAGCGGATAGAGGTAGTGGTGCTGTTTCAGATCAACCTCCTGTGGTGTGCATGCTTCCCAGCGGATAGAGGTAGTGGTGCTGTTTCAGATCAACCTCCTGTGGTGTGCATGCTTCCCAGCGGATAGAGGTAGTGGTGCTGTTTCAGATCAACCTCCTGTGGTGTGCATGCTTCCCAGCGGATAGAGGTAGTGGTGCTGTTTCAGATCAACCTCCTGTGGTGTGCATGCTTCCCAGCGGATAGAGGTAGTGGTGCTGTTTCAGATCATCTGACTGTGGTGTACATGCTTCCCAGCGGATAGAGGTAGTGGTGCTGTTTCAGATCAACCTCCTGTGGTGTGCATGCTTCCCAGCGGATAGAGGTAGTGGTGCTGTTTCAGATCAACCTCCTGTGGTGTGCATGCTTCCCAGCGGATAGAGGTAGTGGTGCTGTTTCAGATCAACCTCCTGTGGTGTGCATGCTTCCCAGCGGATAGAGGTAGTGGTGCTGTTTCAGATCATCTGACTGTGCAGTTTGACAGAGATGCAGCCATCCCGTTTGTGTGGTTAGAGCATGTGGTTATTGTCTATGAGTCCTACAGTACTGTAGGGAAACAGAAAATAACTGTGGGTATATAGTTGACTTTACTGAGAACTTCTGAATATGATGACCTACTCTACCTTACATGTACTCTCTGGCAACAAAGGAAAGTCCATGAAGGAAAGAGAGACAGTGTTACTTTGAGAGTACTGTACCTTTGTAAGCTTTTAATCCACAGCAGAGCAGATAATTGCCAATAAATATTTACACACAGGGCCTTTGTTGACATGCTGGGCTCAAGGAGAATGAATCAGGGGTTTAGTCTGGCAGCTCATTTCATACAGTATGTAGGCTACAGTTCAAAGTAAGTTCAGGAGGAAACTACTTTATACTAAGAAGATACACAAAGACAATCATATTAGATGAAGACTGGGACTCAGAGAAAGGGTAAGATGTTGTTTGACAGAAATACCTAAGTTCTTATTGGATGCCCTGTAAATCAGATTTTGGTTTTTCGTAAAAGGACATATATATAATCACTGTGCAGGATGAAGTTAAGATACTTTTTAACTCGGACTGCAAGGCCTTGGTTTCTATGGCCGTGAGAAGAGAAAGGGATGAGACAGAGGAGGGAGAGAGAGAGAGCGAGAGAGAGGGGAGATGGGACTGAACGGAACACCTATCAGCAATGCCTGAGCTGGCTGGCGAGGGCCTCGTTTTTCATGCTGTCATCCCCCTCTCCCTGTCTCCACTCATCCTCTGTTCGCTCTGCCCTTTTCCCTCCACTGCCGTGGCGTTCCCCCTTTCCTCACAGTGCTCCACTGCCGCCGCCCTGGGCTGTGTTTTTACTCCGGACCAGCGGGGCGGGTGGCCAGGCATCCAGTCAGCTATGCAGAGAGACTGTGTTCACCCATCTGTGAAATCACCACCAGTGGCTGACAACCAGGGGGCATGTCAGGTCATGTGGATACAGTGCGGGTCAATGGATAGTTTCAATACAGAAACCCTGCTACCCTGCTGCCCTGCTACCTGCAGCCGTCAGGGAAGTACTGCATCATATGATATGTTGGCTGAGCCACCATCAGCACCTGCCTGTACCCTACCTGTCCTAAGCTCTCTCCTGCTTTGTCCTGCTAGGTGACCTAAACTGGGCCATGCTTAAACCACTTGACCAAGTCTTAAAACAATGGTACTCCCTAAAACTCTCTCAGATTATTACCAATCCCACAAGGTATGACCCACATCAGTCTGGTGTTTTCTGTAATGACCTTAGTGATCACTGTTTTACGGCCTGTGTTCGTAATGGCTGCTCAATTAAACGACATGTCCTGATTTGTCATAGACGCTTGCTGAAAAACTTTAATGAGCAAGCCTTCCTTCATGACCTAGCCTATGTAAATTGGTATAGAATCAGCTTGATCCCCTCTGTTGAAGATGCTTGGACCTTCTTTTTCTATCTTTTCAGTGGTATTGTTAACAAGCACGCCCCCATAAAGAACATTTGAATAAAAAACAGGTTCAGCCCCTGGTTCGACCGTGATCTGGCAGAGTTACTCAAGAACACCATTTGGTGAAAGGCTCGGCACACAAATACTGTCATTCAGGCAAATGAGAAATAAGTTAGTTACTTTAAGGAGCAGTTCTCTCTCTGTGGGTCTAACCCCAAGAAGTTCTGGAAAATGGTGAAAGACCTGGAGAATAAACCCTCCTCCTCACAGCTGCCCATGTCCCTTAATGTTGATGATGTAGTTGTTACTGACAAGGAGTGTATGGCTGAGCTCTTTAATCATCACTTCATTAAGTCAAGATTCCTATTTGACTCAGCCATGCCTCTTTGCCCGTCCAACACTTCCTCATCTCCCAGCCCTTCTAATGCGACTAGCCCTGATGCTCCTCCCTCCTTTTTCACTGCCCCGCTACACAGCTTCTCTCTACAGGAGGTCACTGAGTCGAAGATCCTTTCTTCTTTAAGGTTGCTGCCCCTATCATCGCCAAGCCTCTCTCTGACCTTTTTAGCCTGTCTCTCCTCTCTGGGGAGGTTCCCAGTGCTTGGAAGGCAGCCACGGTGCGTCCTTTATTTAAAGGGGGAGATCAAGCTGATCCTAACTATATTATAGGCTAATCTCTATCTTGCCCTGTTTATCAAAAGTGTTGGAAAAACTTGTCAGTAATCAACTAACAGGCTTTCTTTATGTCTATAGTATTCTCTCTGGTATGCAATCTGGTTTCTGCTCAGGTTATGGATGTGTCACTGCAACCTTAAAGGTCCTAAATGTTGTCACCATTGCCCTTGATTCTAAGCAATGTTGTGCTGCTATTTTTATTGGACTTGGCCAAAGCTTTTGATACGGTAGACCATTCCATTCTTGTTGGTCGGCTAAGGAGAATTGGTGTCTCTGAGGGGTCTTTTGCCTGGTTTGCTAACTACTTCTCTCAAGGAGTGCAGTGTGTAAATTCAGAACATCTGCTATCTCAGCCACTGCCTGTCACCAAGGGAGTACACCAAGGCTCAATCCTAGGACCCACGCTCTTTCCAATTTACATCAACAACATAGCTCAGGCAGTAGGAAGCGCTCTCATCCATTTATATGCAGATGATAGTCTTATACTCAGCTGGCCCCTCCCTGGATTTTGTGTTAAACGCTCTACAAGAAAGCTTTCTTAGTGTCAAACAAGCTTCTCTGCCCTTAACCTTGTTCACTCCAAATTGCATACCGCCCCAACAGATCCACAGATGACGCAATCTCTATTGCACTCGACACTGCCCTTTCCCACCTGGACAAAAGGAACATCTATGTGAGAATGTTGTTCATTGACTACAGCTCAGCGTTCAACACCATTGTGCACTCCAAGCTCATCACTAAACTAAGGACCCTGGGATTAAACACCTCCCTCTGCAACTGGATCCTGGACTTTCTGAGGGGCCGCCTCCAGGTGGTAAGGGTAGGCAACAACACATCCACCACGCTGACCCTCAACACGAGGCCCCTCAGGGATGTGTGCTTAGTCCCCTCCTGTACTCCCTGTTCACCCACGACTGCGTGGCCATGCACGGCTCCAACACCATCATTAAAGGAAAGATCCACCCAAAATCACTAATTCCTTTAATATACAGTGTTAAATAACACTAATATGTGAGAACAATATTTTTTGTGAACAAATGTTTCATTTGGCCGTTATAATAAGGTTGGTAGTAACATGGAAAATCGTTGTGAAAATCTGTTCCAGCTCAAGTCGACTACAAAATCCACAATGCAAGGCTCTCTCTATGGGCTGGCTGGCTGGCTAGCTGGCTAGCTAGCTAGCAAGGTAGCTAGCTAGCAAATGTAGCTACACACAATAATACCAAACACAATATCAGCATGTAATGTAGGTAGTTAGCAGTAAAATCGCCTAAACAAACTGCACTATCAATTTAGGTGTCTACAATCTCACCATGTTCAACCTGCAGATCAATGTGCCTCACAGAGTGGGGTCTGACATTTGCAATGACAGATATACTTTTGAGGAGCTCAAATCAAATCAAATTGTATTTGCCACATGCACCGAATACAACAGGTGTAGACATTACAGTGAAATGTTTACTTACAAGCCCTTAACCAACAATGCAGTTTTTAAGAAGAAGAAAAAAAAGTGTTAAGTAAAATAAAAAATGTTAAAAAGCAGGATATGTGCGGGGGCACCGGTTAGTCAAGGTAATTGAGGTAATATTTACATGTGGGTAGAGTTAATGTGACTATGCATAAATAATAAACAGAGTAGCAGCAGCGTACAAGAGGGGGATGGGGTGGGGGGGGGGGCAATGCAAATAGTCCGGGTAGCCATGATTAGCTGTTCAGGTGTCTTATGGCTTGGGGGTAGAAGCTGTTAAGAAGCCTTTTGGACCTAGACTTGGCACTCCGGTACCGCTTGCCGTGCAGTAGCAGAGAGAACAGTCTATGACTAGGGTGGCTGGAGTCTTTGACAATTTTTAGGGCCTTCCTCTGACACCGCCTGGTATAGAGGTCCTGGATGGCAAGAAGCTTGGCCCCAGTGATGTACTGGGCCGTACGCACTACCCTCTGTAGTGCCTTGTGGTCGGAGGCCAAGCAGTTGCCATACCAGGCGGTGATGCAACCAGTCAGGATGTTCTCGATGGTGCAGCTGTAGAACTTTTTGTGGATCTGAGGACCCATGCCAAATCTTTTCAGTCTCCTGAGGGGGAATAGGCTTTGTCGTGCCCTCTTCACGACTGTCTTGGTGTGTTTGGACCATGATAGTTTGTTGGTGATGTGGATACCAAGGAACTTGAAGCTCTCAACCTGTTCCACTACAGCCCCGTCGATGAGAATGGGGGCGTGCTCAGTCCTCTTTTATTTTCCTGTAGTCCACAATCATCTCCTTTGTCTTCATTACGTTGAGGGAGAGGTTGTTATCCTGGCACCACACGGCCAGGTCTCTGACCTCCTCCCTATAGGCTGTCTCATCGTTGTCGGTGATCAGGCCTACCACTGTTGTGTCGTCGGCAAACTTAATGTTGGTGTTGGAGTCGTGCCTGGCCATGCAGTCATGGGTGAACAGGGAGTACAGGAGGGGACTGAGCACGCACCCCTGAGGGGCCCCCGTGTTGAGGATCAGCGTGGCAGATGTGTTGTTACCTATGCTTACCACCTGGGGGCGGCCCGTCAGGAAGTCCAGGATCCAGTTGCAGAGGGAGGTGTTTCGTCCCAGGGTCCTTAGCTTAGTGATGAGCTTTGAGGGCACTATGGTGTTGAACGCTGAGCTGTAGTCAATGAATAGCATTCTCATGGGAAGCGTTGCCCATGCTACTTCAATGGGCTGTGCGGTGCATTCTGGGCAATTCTGGGACAAGGAGCGCTCTCCTTCAAGGAGTGAATGGAAGTCTATTGGGCGCTAACTCAAAAACCTAACATTAGCACGAATTCCGTCAACAATAAATACAACATTTAAAACATTTTTCCGAGATGTGAGATAATTAACTTGCTATATGTGCAGTCGTGGTCAAAAGTTTTGAGAATGACACAAGTATTGGTCTTCACAAAGTTCGCTGCTTCAGTGTTATGAGATATTTTTGTCAGATGTTACTATGGTATACTGAAATATAATTAAAAGCATTCCATAAGTGTCAAAGGCTTTTATTGACAATTACATTAAGTTTATGCAAAGTGTCAATATTTGCAGTGTTTTTCAAGACCTCTGCAATCCGCCCTGGCATGCTGTCAATTAACTTCTGGGCCACATCCTGACTGATGGCAGCCCATTCTTGCATAATCAATGCTTGGAGTTTTTCAGAATTTGTGGGTTTTTGCTTGTCCACCCACCTCTTGAGGATCGACCACAAGTTCTCAATGGGATTAAGGTCTGGGGTGTTTCCTGGCCATGGACCCAAAATGTCGATGTTTTGGGTCCACTTAGTTATCACTTTTGCCTTATGGCAAGGTGCTCCATCATGCTGGAAAAGGCATTGGTCGTCACCAAACTGTTCTTGAATGGTTGGGAGAAGTTGCTCTCGGAGGATGTGTTGGTACCATTCTTTATTCATGGCTGTGTTCTTAGGCAAAATTGTGAGTGAGCCCACTCCCTTGGCTGAGAAGCAACCCCACACATGAATGGTCTCAGTATGCTTTACTGTTGGCATGACACAGGACTGATGGGAGCGCTCACCTTGTCTTCTCCGGACAAGGTGTTTTCCGGATGCCCCAAACAATCGGAAAGGGGATTCATCAGAGAAAATGACTTTACCCCAGTCCTCAGCAGTACAATGCCTGTACCTTTTGCAGAATATCAGTCTGTCCCTGATGTTTTTCCTGGAGAGAAGTGGCTTCTTTGCTGCTCTTCTTGACACCAGGCCATCCTCCAAAAGTCTTCGCCTCACTGTGCGTGCAGATGCACTCACACCTGCCTGCTGCCATTCCTGAGCAAGCTCTGCACTGGTGGTGCCCCAATCCCGCAGCTGAATCAACTTTAGGAGATGGCCCTGGCGCTTGCTGGACTTTCTTGGGCGCCCTGATGCCTTCTTCACAACAATTGAACCTCTCTCCTTGAAGTTCTTGATGATCCGATAAATGGTTGATTTAGGTGCAATCTTACTAGCAGCAATATCCTTGCCTGTGAAGCCCTTTTTGTGCAAAGCAATGATGACAGCACGTGTTTATTTGCAGGTAACCATGGTTAACAGAGGAGGAACAATGATTTCAAGCACCACCCTCCTTTTAAAGCTTCCAGTCTGTTATTCTAACTCAATCAGCATGACAGCGTGATCTCCAGCCTTGTCCTCGTCAACACTCTCACCTGTGTTAATGAGAGAATCACTGACATGATGGCAGCTGGTCCTTTTGTGGCAGGGCTGAAATGCAGTGGAAATGTTTTTTGGGGATTAAGTTCATTTTCATGGCAAAGAGGGACTTTGCAATTAATTGCAATTAATCTGATCACTCTTCATGACATTCTGGAGTATATGCAAATTGCCATCATCAAAACTGAGGCAGCAGACTTTGTGAAAATTAGTATTTGTGTCATTCTCAAAACTTTTGACCACGACTGTAGTATCGTATAGCTTTGGAATTGTGACATTATGTACTTTTGAGGAAAATAGGCAAGTTTCTCGACATATACACTGACTTTGAGAAGGGATTGCGTGACGCATGTGAGAGAAAAAAATTGTATTAGCATTACTTTAAGGTTAATATAAATGATAGTTGTGTACAATCCTGTTACTCTGGTTGTGTAAGTTGCTGTTTTAACGTATATCTGTACCTGGTCCACCACGGCTGTGCATATCTCGTGTTCTTACCCCCACCCTCTGTACTCTGAAACTTGCATGTTCGGATACAAGGTATCTCTGTTCCGAACGAAGTCTCTCCTTATCCTCTTTTCTAAGAACAAACAGTTCTTAGTACTCTCAAGAGAACACAAAGGACAGAATATTTTTCCACCTCCTCCGGTAGATATCGGTTGGTTCGACACATTGAGACATTGGTGGAACCACTTGTGTGTGTGGTGTGACCTGCTCCCTTATTAATACGTTTTGAATGAAGTAATATCCTGATTGGTGAAGGACTTTGTCTCTCCTCATTATTGATTAGAATTTCCACGACACGCAGCATCACAACGTGAACGCGATTGGTCGACAGTCTGCTGGGTTGGGCGTAATACGTTCCTTTGTTTATTGGATTCCTATCTCCTTTCTATAATATCTCTGGCAACGGCACCATGCAATGCACCCTGGACTAAAGAGGCAGACAAATAGGAAAAATGTGCTAGACCCTCCGTTAAATTACACATTTCTCAAGTTAGGAATATCGCAAAAATTAGAGAGAAGACCAGTGGCGGCTCCTGAAAAAATTCTCAGGGGGGGCAATTTTTCTGATGATTTAGGTGACCTACACACATTTTTAAAAAGATATGTCCAGCAACAACATGAAGACAGGGGCAGCATATAAGTCAATACCAGAAGCATTTATTGACTGATCTCAAAAGTGTTGGCTTACAAAATCAAAATAAGTTATCACAGTAAAAATAATCAAGGGTGTTCTTTCACATTCCTCAACACTGCATAAACAATATGCATTTCCATAAACAAATGAAATATCAGCTGAAAATACAGCATCTTGGTATTTGTTCAGATTGCAGGATCAACAAGAGCTTTTACCACATTTTTTGCCTCATGGTTGAATTGGAAATATGTGCACCTGAGCATAATTCACAACAAGCAAGCAGGAGCTTTTGATAGAGGCTACTGAAAACATTGATGCAAGTTATTGGTAATAAGACATTTTTATAGACTTCCATATTCTGCCCTCTTGTATAGATTTGTGAAAATGAACAGTGATAGACATTTTGCCTGAAAACAGAATTTGAAAGTAATTTCTAGAAAAGGTAAACACAGCTATCTGTATGGCTTTGTAAAAACAAACAACCATATTCTGGCCAATTGTATAGATTTGTAAATATGAACAACCATATTCTGGCCAATTGTATAGATTTGTAAAAATGAACAGATTATTTTTTTTTTTTACTTTTTTTTAAATGAAAAATAACTATTTTAAACAACATCAACTGTGAACTGATTTGGGCGTGTGTGTGTTAAAGAGACAGACAGGAAGGGACAAAGAGAGAGAGAGGCTACATTACTTGTACTGAAACTGTTCTCTTCTCTGTTTCAATACAGCAAAGCGTTCAATGACTTTCTCATTGAAATCAGGCATGCTGAGGACTAGTTCCCTCTCCATGGAAAGCATGGCCAGTGCATTCAGACGTTCCCGGCCCATTGAATTTCGCAGGAATGTCTTAACTCGTGTCAAAGTTGAGAAACATCTCTCAGCTTCAGCTGTTGTCATGGGAGTAGTTATGAGGATGTTCAACAGAGTCACAGTCTCAGAGAACGTCTCCTGGAGGTTGTAGCTCATGAGAACCTGGTACAGTGCCAGTGCACCACAGCATCCCTTGAATTCAGGATTCTCATAGATCAGAGATAGTTCTGTCTTGAGCTTTGCCTTGCTCAGCATGGGGTATGCATTCACAGTGGCATTCAGAGCCTCATCAGGAAATGAATGGCAGTACCTTTCAAACATGTCTGCTTGCAGTAAGGTAGCACTCACAAGGTGGCCAGAGAAAGAGAACCTTTCTTTGGTGTGATCCAGGATGGTGTTGCAGACCTCTTCAGACAGCCTCTGCTTCTCCTCTTCTCTCAAAGCTGTTCTGGGTCTTTTGGCTCCTGTTGCTTCTTGCAGCTGCTGTTGAGAGGAGTCCCTGAAGGCAAACAGACCAATGTGTTTGTTGGCTTTGTACAGTACTGTTGTCTATGTGATGCACAGGTATATGCAATGTATCCATGTATAGTACAAATACTTCAGTTCCACTTAAAATGGGCAGGGATGCATAAAGTCTTTAGTGTTTAAGTTAGCCTTTGTGTCTCACATAGCCTGGATGTTCAGCACAGTATACAGTGGTGCTCATAAGCTTATGATCCCATGCTAAAGTTGACTAAAAAGAGGAATAAAAAAGAAAAGAAAATTGGTGTCCTTAAAGGTTGGATTTTCCAACTTTTTTAATTAAGTCATTAAGATCAATTTCCAAAAGATGATTTTTTTATTCCTCTTTTTAGTCAACTTTAGAATGTGTTCATACACTTATGAGCACCACTGTACAGTACACATAGTATATAAAATAAGCTAGATTACACCACTGGCCATATATAATGAGAATAATGTAATTTCAAACACAAATGCAGTCTCCTTTCATGCATACATTTTCAAATAAAGCTCTGCTTTGAGAAAGATCGAATGATATTGTTTAATCTTACCTTATGGCCTGCACACTGCTTGTGAAGCTGTCGAGGGCACGTTTGATAAAGACAGCATCGATGTCCTTCTTCTGTAGCTTCTGGTACAGAATGTCGACGTGGGGCATGATTTTGTGAAAAAGCCGCAGGAAAAAAATAAAATCTTCATCATGTAGCATCCTCACGTAGCCAGATGCCTCTCTCACGGTGGGCTGGTCAAATGAACCCAATGAACCCGTCCGAATGGCTTCAAAACATTCTATGAGGTCGTCTCGATTCTCGTAGACATTGTTCACGACTCTGCTTAGTAGAAACCTGTTGAATTATTAAATTTGGTCTGGGAGGTCCTAATTGTTTCGTTGCCAATTGATCTTGATTTGTTCGCCGACAAAAAGGAACTTATTTCAAAGAGACAATCGAGTTGCACTGAAGGCTAGCCATTTTGACAGTAGTAGTGAATTGATTGATGAGGCTACCCGCTCTTTTCTTAGTTACGTTCATGGTTATGTTACGTATGACGAAAGCGCGTAAGTGCAAGCCCTCAGAAACCCATAGAGATTCTATTGAAAGCTCTGATATTTGAAATTTTTTATTTTACATTAGAGGCTATGAGAGACTTCTGGGCGATTTTCAACCTGACTGAAATCGCCCCAAAACGGGCGGGGACATTTGAAGCACGACTTTAGCCTGATTGGACATTTAGTGGCAGATCAGACGTCTAGATTAGAACACTGATAACTACTGTTGCCGTGATATAATTGATTAGAAAAAAAAACCTTCCTTTTCCCGTTTGGCAGTGCGTCGCCCATATCGCCCTAATGAACACACCGCCCCTGGAGAAGACATCCTCCCAAGTTATGACATCGGCCAGTATTAAAATCTGACATGTATGATAGACATTTTCGCAATCTAAAAGTCCTATTCCTATTCACTTTCAGTGTAGTGAGAGCGACTTTATCACGGTGCTACGTCATACCGGCCGGATTTCTGCCTGCTTGAACGCCAATAACTCAAATACACATTAAAACATGACATGTCCCAGGGAATCTATAGAACATCACTCAGAGATGCACAAAAACAATATAACATTAAAAATGGGTGAACCTTTCCTTTAAGTTTGCGGACGACGATGAGACAGCCTACAGGGAGGAGGTCAGAGACCTCTCCCTCAACCGAGCGCTCCCCCATCCACATCAACGGGGCTGTTGTGGAGTAGGTCGAGAGCTTAAAGTACCTTGGTGTCCACATCACTAAGGAACTATCATGGTCCACACATATTAATACAGTTGTGAAGAGGGCACGACAATGCCTCTTCCCCCTCAGGAGGCTGAAAAGATTCGGCATGGGCCCTCAGATCCTCAAAAGGTTATACAGCTGTACCATTTAAAGCATCTTGACTGTCTGAATCACCGCTTGGTATGGCAACTGCTTGGCATCCGACCGCAAGGCACTACAGAGGGTAGTGAGCACAGTCCAGTACATCACTGGGGCCAAGCTTCCTGCCATCCAGGACCTCTATACCAAGCGGTGTCAGAGGAAGGCCCTAAAAATTGTCAAAGACTACAGCTACCCAAGTCATAGACTGTTCTCTCTGCTACCGCATGGCAAGCGATACTGATGCACAAAGTCTGGAACCAACAGGACCCTGAACAGCTTCTACCCCCAAGCTATAAGATTGCTAAATAGTCTGTTAAAAAGTTAACCAATAGCTACCCGGAATATCTGCATATAACTCTTTTGACTCATCACATATCCTGCTGCTACTGTTTATTATCTATCCTGTTGCCTAGTCACTTTATCCCTACCTATATGTACATACAATATCTACAGTTGAAGTCGGAAGTTTACATACACTTAGGTTGGAGTCATTAAAACTCGTTTTTTTCAACCACTCCACAAATTTCTTGTTAACAAACAAGCAAGTCAGTTAGGACATCTACTTTGTGCATGACACAAGTAATTTTTCCAACAATTGTTTACAGACAGATTATTTCACTTATAATTCACTGTATCACATTTCCAGTGGGTCAGAAGTTTACATACACTGAGTTGACTGGGCCTTTAAACAGCTTGGAAAATTCCAGAAAATGATGTCATGGCTTTAGAAGCTTCTGATAGGCTAATTGACATCATTTGAGTCAATTGGAGGTGTACCTATGGATGTATTTCAAGGCCTGCCTTCAAACTCAGTGCCTCTTTTCTTGACATCAAAAGAAATCAGCCAAGACCTCAAAAAATTGTAGACCTCCACAAGTCTGGTTCATCCTTGGGAGCAATTTCCAAACACCTGAAGGTACCACGTTCATCTGTACAAACAATAGTACGCAAGTATAAACATCATGGTACCACGCAGCCGTCATACCGCTCAGGAAGGAGACGTGTTCTATTTCCTAGAGATGAACGTACTTTGGTGCGAAAAGTGCAAATCAATCCCAGAACAACAGCAAAGGGCCTTGTGAAGATGCTGGAGGAAACGGGTACAAAAGTATCTATATCCACAGTAAAACAAGTCCTATATCGACATAACCTGAAAGGCCGCTCAGCAAGGAAGAAGCCACTGCTCCAAAACCGCCATAAAAAAGCCAGACTACGGTTTGCAATTGCACATGGGGACAAAGATCGTACTTTTTGGAGAAATGTCCTCTGGTCTGATGAAACAAAAATAGAACTGTTTGGCCATAATGACCATCATTATGTTTGCAGGAAAAAGGGGATGGCTTGCATGCCGAAGAACACCATCCCAACCGTGAAGCACGGGGGGTGGCAGCATCATGCTGTGGGGGTGCTTTGCTGCAGGAGGGACTGGTGGACTTCACAAAATAGTTGGCATCATGAGGAAGGAAAATGATGTGGATATACAGTGGGGGAAAAAAGTATTTAGTCAGCCACCAATTGTGCAAGTTCTCCCACTTAAAAAGATGAGAGAGGCCTGTAATTTTCATCATAGGTACACGTCAACTATGACAGACAAATTGAGGAAAATAAATCCAGAAAATCACATTGTAGGATTTTTAATGAATTTATTTGCAAATTATGGTGGAAAATAAGTATTTGGTCACCTACAAACAAGCAAGATTTCTGGCTCTCACAGACCTGTAACTTCTTCTTTAAGAGGCTCCTCTGTCCTCCACTCGTTACCTGTATTAATGGCACCTGTTTGAACTTGTTATCAGTATAAAAGACACCTGTTCACAACCTCAAACAGTCACACTCCAAACTCCACTATGGCCAAGACCAAAGAGCTGTCAAAGGACACCAGAAACAAAATTGTAGACCTGCACCAGGCTGGGAAGACTGAATCTGCAATAGGTAAGCAGCTTGGTTTGAAGAAATCAACTGTGGGAGCAATTATTAGGAAATGGAAGACATACAAGACCACTGATAATCTCCCTCGATCTGGGGCTCCACGCAAGATCTCACCCCGTGGGGTCAAAATGATCACAAGAACGGTGAGCAAAAATCCCAGAACCACACGGGGGGACCTAGTGAATGACCTGCAGAGAGCTGGGACCAAAGTAACAAAGCCTACCATCAGTAACACACTACGCCGCCAGGGACTCAAATCCTGCAGTGCAAGACGTGTCCCCCTGCTTAAGCCAGTACATGTCCAGGCCCGTCTGAAGTTTGCTAGAGTGCATTTGGATGATCCAAAAGAGGATTGGGAGAATGTCATATGGTCAGATGAAACCAAAATAGAACTTTTTGGTAAAAACTCAACTCGTCGTGTTTGGAGGACAAAGAATGCTGAGTTGCATCCAAAGAACACCATACCTACTGTGAAGCATGGGGGTGGAAACATCATGCTTTGGGGCTGTTTTTCTGCAAAGGGACGAGGACGACTGATCCGTGTAAAGGAAATAATGAATGGGGCCATGTATCGTGAGATTTTGAGTGAAAACCTCCTTCCATCAGCAAGGGCATTGAAGATGAAACGTGGCTGGGTCTTTCAGCATGACAATGATCCCAAACACACCGCCCGGGCAACTAAGGAGTGGCTTCGTAAGAAGCAGTTCAAGGTCCTGGAGTGGCCTAGCCAGTCTCCAGATCTCAACCCCATAGAAAATCTTTGGAGGGAGTTGAAAGTCCGTGTTGCCCAGCGACAGCCCCAAAACATCACTGCTCTAGAGGAGATCTGCATGGAGGAATGGGCCAAAATACCAGCAACAGTGTGTGAAAACCTTGTGAAGACTTACAAAAAACGTTTGACCTGTGTCATTGCCAACAAAGGGTATATAACAAAGTATTGAGAAACTTTTGTTATTGACCAAATACTTATTTTCCACCATAATTTGCAAATACATTTATTAAAAATCCTACAATGTGATTTTCTGGATTTTCTTTCTCATTTTGTCTGTCATAGTTGACGTGTACCTATGATGAAAATTACAGGCCTTTCTCATCTTTTTAAGTGGGAGAACTTGCACAATTGGTGGCTGACTAAATACATTTTTTCCCCACTGTATTGAAGCAACATCTCAAGACATCAGTCAGGAAGTTAAAGCTTGGTCGCAAATGGGTCTTCCAAATGGACAATGACCCAAAGCATACTTCCAAAGTTGTGGCAAAATGGCTTAAGGACAACAAGGTCAAGGTATTGGAGAGCCCATCACAAAGCCCTGACCTCAATCCTATAGAACATTTGTGGGCAGAACTGAAAAAGTGTGTGTGAGCAAGGAGGCCTACAAACCTGACTCAGTTACACCAGCTCTGTCAGGTGGAATGGGCCAAAATTCACCCAACTTATTGTGGGAAGCTTGTGGAAGGCTACCCGAAATGTTTGACCCAAGTTAAACAATTTAAAGGCAATGCTACCAAATACTAATTGAGTGTATGTAAACTTCTGACCCACTGGGAATGTGATGAAATAAATAAAAGCTGAAATAAATCATTCTCTCTACTATTATTCTGACATTTCACATTCTTAAAATAAAGTGGTGATGCTAACTGACCTAAGACAGGGAATTTTTACTAGGATTAAATGTCAGGAAAAACTTAGTTTAAATGTATTTGGCTAAGGTGTATGTAAACCTCCGACTTCAACTGTACCTCAATTACCTCATACCCCTGCAGTTTTTCACAATTCCTGACATTTAATCCTAGTAAAAATTCCCTGTCTTAGGTCTGTTAGGATCACCACTTTATTTTACGAATGTGAAATGTCAGAATAATAGTAGAGAGAATTATTTATTTAAGCTTTTCTTTCTTTCATCACATTCCCAGTGGGTCAGAAGTTTACATACACTCATTTGGTATTTGGTAGCATTGCCTTTAAATTGTTTAACTTGGATCAAACGTTTCGGGTGGTCCTCTGTAGCTCAATTGGTAGAGCATGGCGCTTGTAACGCCAGGGTAGTGGGTTCGATCCCCGGGACCACCCATACTTAAAAATATATGCGCACATGACTGTAAGTCGCTTTGGATAAAAGCGTCTGCTAAATGGCATATTATTATTATTATTATTATTATTATTATTATTATTATTATTATATCGACTCGGTACTGGTACCCTGTGTATATAGCCAAGTTATCGTTACTCATTGTGGATTTATTCCTTGTGTTATTATCTTTCTATTATTTATCTTGTTCTCCTCTCTGCATTAAGGGCCTGTAAGTAATGATTTCACTGTTAGTCTACACCTTTTGTTTACGAAGCACGTGACAAATAACATTTTATTTTATTTGACATACACATGAAGATGCCTCAATGACGGAAGAATAGAAACATGGTCCCTTATTTCACTACCTCTAAGGACAACAGTATACTAGCCAGGTCACATTCTCTATCTATGAAATTGCAATTTTCAGTGTTCAGAAATTAGAGCTGTTTCACCTTCAGTAATCCACAGGGAAAACCCTATCAATAGGACTTGCTACTGTAGCTGTGAATAAGCAAGGACACATTAAGGTTTAAAATTGCTTACACTCAATACGTCTACACAGATATATCCCTGTCAATGCTGTCCCTCCATGCAAAGCATCAGCTGCTCTTCGACATTGATAGAGATAGAGATGCTTTCTCAGTCTGTCCCCTGCTCGAACGCCCCCCTCCCCCTGCTGTTTATGCCAGTTCTCTTCTCTTATCGGTCCTCTCTGCAGCTCCCTTCATCAGCACCAGGCACAGACGGCCCGCTCCTCGCAGCCGATCAAAGCCTGGCTAATTACGCTATACAAGTAGAGCCTCTGCGCTAAGCAGGGGTTCACTTTGAGACACCTCTCCCCTCAGAACACTACAGCATTTCCCTCCCTCAGGCCCTTCAAAATACAGTCACACTATTATCACTTGCAGAAGAATATAGACACACAGTTACTCAAGCAAAGAAAGTGTATTTTGTGCTGTGTAGCCGTTTGGTCTGTACCAGGCAAGGGGATTTAAGACGGGTTAACGCTAGGACGTTACAGGATGATCTCTGGTATCTCATCCAAGGGGCCTGACTATCACAAGCAGCCATACTCCTCCTCTTAGACGAATCAGGAAGAAGAGGAGAAGGAAGACCAGTGAATTGCATTCACTTTCAGAAAGGGTTTTGCAGCAGAAGAGAACATCTTTACGTATAACAGCTGAGTACGAGTTCAAAACCAGAACACTTGATCATGACAGAGTTTGTTCAGTACTTGGCCATAAGAGTAAAGAACACAAATCTCTCACAATATAGATATGTAGGTGAGACCAGGTACAGTATAGAAGCCTACCTGTCGTAGAGGTCATCTGGGTAGCTGTCATACTCCAGGTCATAGTCAGATCTGAGGAGAGAGCGAGAGATAGGATAAGAGAGGGAAAAATAAATAGAACGGCTTTCAGAGGGCGGGAGAGAGAGGGGGATATGATGAGTGTTAGAAGGGGAAGGATATAACACGGGTCAATGGGGACAGATTGGTGGCTTGTCCATGGAGTAAACAGATACAGACACTTACAGCTGTAATATGTTTTAACATCCTCAGAACCTTGGCTTGCACGGTTGAATCCCTGTCACTAAGGTATACCCATAATTCCCTGAGGATCTCATCTCTTTTTCTCTGTTCCTCTCTTTCTCCTTCACACTCATCAGGGAAGTAAACTGTGCTCCCCTCTAAGAGCTTACCTGTCCATTAGCGCAGATTTGGTTGAATGGTTTTTAAAATCACAGGGGCTTAGCTGTCTGGTCAAATAACAGGCTCTGTGTTCAACCAGGGAAGTCAAGCAGAGAGGGAGGTGAAACGGTCATGCTTTAAAGTTTTGCTGTCGGGCCGTTCCTCTATCAGACGAGAGACAGCATTTCAGACATTAAATAAAATGATAGGTTTACAATCCCAGCACATTTTCATTACACTGTTAGAAGTGGACTATTTATATACGTAATGGTTTCAGGGCTCCCCTGCATCACAGATATGTGATCAAAATGTAAACACGACAACTATCAACTCCAGCCTCGGCTCAGCCTCTGAGTCTCTCAGTGAAGTGCACACTACACACTGACATACACACTCAGTGGCCTGCTGTGGGAACACAAGCAGTCCTGTTGCTGATGTTAACCAACACAGCCATCCATCACAATAAGGATCAGAGTAAACCCAACACACGGTCTCAGACACTCTGAGATGTGGCAGAGCACCGCCGGCAGACAAATGAAGAGCTAGTTACTGGGCCAAGCTGTAGATAGATAGAGAGAGAGAGAGATGAAGACGAGAGAGAGAGAGAGAGAGAGAGATGAAGACGAGAGCGAGAAAGAGAGAGAGAGAAATGAAGACGAGAGAGAGAGAGAGAGAGAGAGCAATCACAGCAGCAAGATTTGTGACCTGTTGCCACAAGAAAGGGGCAACCAGTGAAGAACAAACACCATCGTAAATACAACCTATATTTATGTTTATTTATTTTTATTTTTGTACTTTAACTATTTGCACATCATTATAACACTGTATATAGACATAATATGACATTTGAAATGTCTCTATTCTTTTGGAACTTGTGTCAGTGTAATATTTACTGTTAATTTTGATTGTTTATTTCACTTTTGTTTATCCATTTCACTTGCTTTGGCAATGTAAACATATGTTTCCCATGCCAATAAAGCCCTTAAATTGAAATTGAAATGCTGTTGTAAACTAAAGCGATAGATAGCCCCAGTCCTGCTGTTGGAAACTAAAGCGATAGATAGCCCCAGTCCTGCTGTTGGAAACTAAAGCGATAGATAGCCCCAGTCCTGCTGTTGGAAACTAAAGCGACAGATAGCCCCAGTCCTGCTGTTGGAAACTAAAGCGATAGATAGCCCCAGTCCTGCTGTTGGTAACTAAAGCGATAGATATCCCCTGTCCTGCTGTTGGAAACTAAAGCGACAGATAGCCCCAGTCCTGCTGTTGGAAACTAAAGCACGTTTGCACACTGATAAAGAAATGATCAGTCTATAACTTTAATTGTAGGTTTATTTGAACAGTGAGAGACAGAATAACAACAAATGAATCCAGAAAAACGCATGTCAAAAATGTTATAAATTGATTTGCATTTTAATGAGGGAAATAAGTATTTGACCCCCTCTCAATCAGAAAGATTTCTGGCTCCCAGGTGTATTTTATACAGGTAACGAGCTGAGATTAGGAGCACACTCTTAAAGGGAGTGCTCCTAATCTTAGCTTGTTACCTGTATAAAAGACACCTGTCCATAGAAGCAATCAATCAATCAGATTCCAAACTCTCCACCATGGCCAAGACCAAAGAGCTCTCCAAGGATGTCAGGGACAAGATTGTAGACCTACACAAGGCTGGAATGGGCTACAAGACCATCGCCAAGCAGCTTGGTGAGAAGGTGATAACAGTTGGTGCAATTATTCGCAAATGGAAGAAACACAAAATATACTGTCTATCTCCCTCGGCCTGGGGCTCCATGCAAGATCTCACCTCGTGGAGTTGCAATGATCATGAGAACGGTGAGGAATCAGCCCAGAACTACACAGGAGGATCTTGTCAATTATTTCAAGGCAGCTGGGACCATAGTCACCAAGAAAACAATTGGTAACACACTACGCCGTGAAGGACTGAAATCCTGCAGCGCCCGCAAGGTCCCCCTGCTCAAGAAAGCACATATACATGCCCGTCTGAAGTTTGCCAGTGAACATCTGAATGATTCAGAGGAGAACTGGGTGAAAGTGTTGTGGTCAGATGAGACCAAAATGGAGTTCTTTGGCATCAACTCAACTCGCCGTGTTTGGAGGAGGAATGCTGCCTATGACCCCAAGAACACCATCCCCACCGTCAAACATGGAGGTGGAAACATTATGCTTTGGGGGTGTTTTTCTGCTAAGGGAACAGGACAACTTTACCGCATCAAAGGGACGATGGACGGGGCCATGTACCGTCAAATCTTGGGTGAGAACCTCCTTCCCTCAGCCAGGGCATTGAAAATGGGTCGTGGATGGGTATTCCAGCATGACAATGACCCAAAACACACGGCCAAGGCAACAAAGGAGTGGCTCAAGAAGAAGCACATTAAGGTCCTGGAGTGGCCTAGCCAGTCTCCAGACCTTAATCCCATAGAAAATCTGTGGAGGGAGCTGAAGGTTCGAGTTGCCAAACGTCACCCTCGAAACCTTAATGACTTGGAGAAGATCTGCAAAGAGGAGTGGGACAAAATCCCTCCTGAGATGTGTGCAAACCTGGTGGCCAACTACAAGAAACATCTGACCTCTGTGATTGCCAACAAGGGTTTTGCCACCAAGTACTAAGTCATGTTTTGCAGAGGGGTCAAATACTTATTTCCCTCCATTAAAATGCAAATCAATTTATAACTTTTTTGACATGCGTTTTTATGGATTTCTTTGTTGTTATTCTGTCTCTCACTGTTCAAATAAACCTACCATTAAAATTATAGACTGATCATTTCTTTGTCAGTGGGCAAATGTACAAAATCAGCAGGGGATCAAATACTTTTTTCCCTCACTGTAGATAGACCCAGTCCTGCTGTTGGTAACTAAAGCGATAGATAGCCCCAGTCCTGCTGTTGGAAACTAAAGCGATAGATAGCCCCAGTCCTGCTGTTGGAAACTAAAGCGATAGATAGCCCCAGTCCTGCTGTTGGAAACTAAAGTGATAGATAGCCCCAGTCCTGCTGTTGGAAACTAAAGCGATAGATAGCCCCAGTCCTGCTGTTGGAAACTAAAGTGATAGATAGCCCCAGTCCTGCTGTGTGCTCATCAAAGGCCCTGCATGACTCTGCTCCATTCATCTTCATCAGCTTTAATGGGTATTAATCAGCATTTAACTGTATTATTGATTTTGGCCACGGCCAAGCCATTTACTATTGAGTGGTGGACAACAATGCAGTGAACCGTTCATATTGATCTGTGTATAACCAAGCATTTACAGTGCTTTCAGAAAGTATTCAAACTCCACATTTTGTTACGTTACAGCCTTATTCTAAAATGGATAAAATTAAATTTTTTCATCATCAATCTACACACAATAACCCATAATGTCAAAGCGAAAACAGGTCTTTAGAAATGTTTGCAAATGTATTACCAAAAAAAAACAGAAACACCTTGCAAATGTATTCAAAATAAAAAACGGAAATACCTTATTTACATAAGTATTCAGACGCTTTACTATGAGACTCGAAATTGAGCTCAGGTGCATCCTGTTTACATTGATCATCCTTGAGATGTTTCTACAACTTGATTGGAGTCCACCTGTGGTAAATTCAATTTATTGGACATTATTTGTAAAGGCACACACCTGTCTATATAAGGTTTCACAGATGACAGTGCATGTCAGAGCAAAAACCAAGCCATGAGGTTGAAGGAATTGTCCGTAGAGCTCCGAGACAGGATTGTGTCGAGGCACAGATCTGGAGAAGGGCACAAAAATATTTCTGCAGCATTGAAGGTCCCCAAGAACACAGTGGCCGCCATCATTCTTAAATGGAAGAAGTTTGGTACCACCAAGACTCTTCCTAGAGCTGGCCGCCCGGCCAAACTGAGCAATTGGGGGAGAATGGCCTTGGTCAGGGAGGTGACCAAGAACCCGATGGTCACACTGACAGAGATCCAGAGTTCCTCTGTGGAGATGGGAGAACCTTTCAGAAGGACAACCATCTCTGCAGCACTCCACCAATCAGGCCTTTATGGTAGTGGCCAGAAAGAAGCCACTCCTCAGTAAAAGGCACATGACAGCCCACTTGGAGGTTGCCAAAAGCCACCTAAAGACTCTCAGACCATGAGAAACAAGATTCTCTGGTCTGATGAAACCAAGATTGAACTCTTTGGCCTGAATGCCAAATGTCACGTCTGGAGGAAACCTGGCACCATCCCTATGGTGAAGCATGGTGGTGGCAGCATCAGTCAGGATCGAGGGAAAGATTAACGGAGCAAAGTACAGAGAGATCCTTGATGAAAACCTGGTCCAGAGCACTCAGAACCTCAGCCTGGGGCGAAGGTTCACCTTCTAACAGGACAACGACCCTAAGCACACAACCAAGACAATGCAGGAGTGGCTTCGGGACAAGTCTCTGAATGTCCTAGAGTGGCCCAGCCAGAGCCCGGACTTGAACCCGATCGAACATCTCTAGAGAGACCTGAAAATAGCTGTGCAGCGACGCTTCCCATCCAACCTGACAGAGCTTTAAAGGATCTGCAGAGAAGAATGGGAGAAATTCCCCAAATACAGGTGTGCCAAGCATGTAGCGTTATACCCGAGAAGACTCGAGGCTGTAATCACTGCCAAAGGTTCTTCAACAAAGTACTGAGTAAAGGGTCTGAATGCTTATGTAAATGTGATATTTCTGGGGGGGGCTATTTATAAATTTCCAAACATTTCTAAAAACCAGTTTTTGCTTTGTCATTATGGGGTATTGTGTGTACATTGATGAGGGATAAAGACAATTTAATCCATTTTAGAATAAGGCTGTAACATCACAAAATGTGGAAAAAGTCAAGGGGTCTGAAAACTTTCCGAATGCACTGTACTATGACTATTGATCTGTCTGTGGACACGACAAAGCTCTCTGAGCTTGGCCATCCTAAACATATTGGATTACTCTTTTATTCCATATGGAGATCTTACCTCCTGTATGCATTGTTGGAATTAGATATTATACCATAGATAATTAAACTGAGATGTTACCT